ATCAGAAAGGCAAGAGAGAAGCAAGGGCAGAGACCCACCATACASACTCCTATCCTTAGCTCACCGAAATGTAGTCCCCTTGACTGAAGGGATGAGGAGCATGACACCGAGAAGCATCATTTTCTATACTGACATAATTTGACTCTTTATCATGATTACATAGTAAAATAATTATTATTTTCCTGGATATAATTCAAACCTGGATGTGGATATTCCACCACCGCAACTATACAAGAAATGTTTTTGTAATTTAGATTAATTCTGGATTAATCTGTAAGATTGTGGAGGAGTTTAAAAACTGCACCTAATTAGCATACATCTTGTGCAGCAACTCAGCCAGAAGCTCCACTGCCTTTTAATAAAACTTCTTAAAAAACTTTATCCTACTCATTACAGGGAAGAAAGCAAAACCACCAACCCATTCAAATAAAAAGAGGAGGGAAATAAAAATCTTCTTTATTAATAAAAAGTTGAAAATGTATTTTCAGGAGATACGCAACAACTCTGCAACAACTCTGAATTGTCCGTTCTTCTCAGAAACGATCTTCAGAGTAGCCCAAACACACGAAAACAAACCTCCCGACCCACCACGTTCGTGTGCGCAGTTAAGCGCAGAGTGTACAGCCCGCAAATACAGGCGTGTACCTCGTCCCCGACAAGCAGCRGGGACTTGCTATTGTTCTCTCGCAGACCTCTCCCGCATCCCCGTTTGCTTTCCTGCACTCSCAAGACTCTGGGGACAGGTGCCCGCAGAAGGGCTCCCAGCCCGCGCCCCGGGCACACCCGGCAGAGCCACCGCCCGCCAGGATCCCCCGACGGCAGCGGCCGCCGCCCGGGGCGCGGTGCGGGCAGGTGAGCGCCGGGCACGGCCGATGTCACCGCGCCGGGTGACCCGACCGCCGCAGCCGGGCTCGCTTCGGCCASGGCATCCCGGGAGCTGCTTCCGAGTTGGAAGTGCTACCCTCCTCGGGGGAAACACCCAACAGCCCTCCAGGCTGCGGCCCTGGCTCTCCGCAGYCTGGACACCATCCCGAGCCGCACCGGCATCGGCGGTCCCGGCGCGGAGCCCCCGCCCCGCCCGTGCCCTCCCGTCCCGGAGCGCAGCCCAGCCCGGCTGCCCGAGCCGCCGCGGCCGCTCCCACTCTCCCCGTCGTACCCAGGATTTCCTTCCTGCGCTGCGTGTGGGGCTGCTCCGTGTAAACCCACTCGAAATCCTCGCGGATAACCCGATTCCCCATGGCTCCCGCTGCGCCCCGCGCCGCGCCGCGCTGCCCTTATAGCTCCGCGCCCGCGGAGGGGCGGCTCCTCCGCCCGCCCCCGCCCCGCGGCCGCCGCTCGCCCCAGGCGGGCACCGGGGCAGCTCCGGCTTCGCTCGGGTGTGCAGGAGTCGAGAGAGCTGCAGAGCCCCTCCGGCGTGTCGGGGGAGTCCGGCGGGAAGAGGATGCCTCGGGGCTGACTTTGGGGACAGCGGACGGGCGGCCGAGGCTCGCCGTGCTGCAGGGACCTCGAAGACAGTCAGGAGAGGTGTGGGATGGGCGTGTTCGCAGGGCAGCATGTTCCCCATCGTGCTGCTGCCAGAACCGGGGCTGGGCACAGCCACTACATCCATCGCTGCCTGGGACGGCTCCAGAGCACCAGGGGAATTTCAGCGCTGCAGGAAAGGAACCCGGGCACTTCTAGACGCAGCTTTTGGAAAGCGAAGGTAGTCCAAACGCCATAAATCCAAAGACAGAGCCCTAAACAGAACCGTGGATTAGCGCAAAGCCCAGTTGTGAGCTCCTCCCAGGGGTGGAAGACCTAGAACAGTGCAAAGGCGACCAACGGCTGACACACATTTCCTTGGCGCTCTGACAATCTTTGTAAGGTGTCCCGGTAGAATCCAGCCGTCACACTTCACTTCTGGTAGTCTGCAGCCCATTTCCCAGGTACTGTCCCCGCTAGAGTAGCGGAAAATCACACTGCTACCGTGGTAACAAAACCAGACAAAGGACTTGCTAAGCGCAGTCCTTCCTGCGCTGCTGTTTTTTTGCTTAAAACTAAGGTAAGCTTGTGTACCTCTCTAGCCTCTCTGATTCAGAGTTACACATTACACAGTGATGTTTCTACACATAACCCAAAATTAAAGTTCTGCCCTGGTTCCCACTGTGTTCTTTTGCAAGTCCATACCTGACCTGCTGTCCATCTTCACCCCCTATCCCCATCATTAGACTTTCCAACAACATCAAATATGGATCAGCTCCAATTTTGTTTCATTCTGTTTCAATATAATGTCTCTAGCACCCTCCATTTCCTCCTACCCCTAAAAATGCCTATTACAGCTGGAAGTTAAAACGGACAAAAAAACAGCCTTGAAAATATGAAATGTAAATAATTTGCAGCAATTATTTTTTCCTATAAACCCTGGCAACATTAACACCTCATATTAATCTAGTGGAACTATTTAAGATCTCTTGGTAGAAGAGTTACATGAAATTGAAAGGGTTAAAAAACAGCAGCAATGAAACCACAAACCCAAACCCCTTATGTTTGACTGTTAGAAAGCCTTAGGAAGCTTTTTTGAGAGTGGGTATTTTTTTCCCCCCTTGTCTAAATGACAGAATCACAGAATCAGCTGAGTTGGAAGAGACCCACAAAGACCATTGAGTCCGATGCTGTCCCTGCACAGGACCATCCCCAAGAGTCACACCACGTGCCTGAGARCATTGTCCAAACACGTCCTGAATTCTGTCAGGCTCAGTGCTGTGACCACTGCCCTGGGGAACCTGTTCCAGTGCCCAAACATCCTCTGGGAGAAGAMCCTTTTTCTAATACCCAATCTAAACCTCCCCTGACACAAATTCAGGCCATTCCCTCGGGTCCTGTCACTGACACCACAGAGAAGAGATCAATGCCTGCCCCTCCTCTCCTCCTCACGAGGAAGCTGTGACTGCAATGAGGTCTCCCCTCAGTCTCCTCCAGGTTAAACTGACCAAGTAACCTCCACTGCTCATACAGTTTCACCTCCAACACTCACCATCTTCATTGCCCTCCTTTGGATACTTTTTACCAGCTTARTATGTAAATCCTTGAATGAATAAAGGTCCAAAGCAGGTTGAGTGGAAGAACTATGGTATAAAGGGAACCACTTTCACCCACAGCAGCAGCAGGAGTTTAACCCCTTGCTCTTACAGGTCAGCTCTCTGTAAATATGATGGTATCTTCACCATTGCTCCAGAACAAGATAGGTGCTTTCCTATGAAGTTGCAGAGTCCAACCCAGATAATGGGCTGTCAATCCAAGTTAAGGTTATTACAAGTTTCTAGAAGAAATGGATTGTTCAGATAGCAGATGCATCCCTGTCTCAGCTTAAACATTTAATTGGCTCAAATGTTTTGGTGTGTTGACAGTATCGGTGGAGAAGCCAGACACTGAATGTGATGACATCCCTTTGTCACTTCCTGCTCAGGTGCTGAAGGTGACTAAAAAAGCAAATTAGAGGGGCAGTCCATGCAGTTACGAAGAAAACAAACATGACTTCACCCCAAGGCTTGTCCAATAGGATGGTGCTATTGCATRTAGTAAGTTACACATGGAAACTTAAGTATCTCCTTTGTAGGCAAACAGCATCTCCTTYATGTAGCTCATTACTACAGACTTAACCTGACCACATAAGAAGAAAGAAAACTTTTCTGTCTCCAGTGAGTTGGCATCTGGTTTTGAGAATAGAATGTCATGCTTTGTATTTCTATAATAAGTCAAACAAATCATACTAATTCAAGAGTAATTATGGATGCCAAACAAGAAACACCAGCTTTAGATCACCTTCTAGAATTGGCAAAAGTATTACCCAGTTCTGACCATTTGGCATCCTTAGTTTTGCAGCATCCTAGTAAAATCATTCATAAAGGAAAAATAGGGGGAGGGATGTTAAGGGCACCCAGCAACAATAGCCTTTTTGTTGAATACTGAAATGACTGAACTCTACAGATTCGCACAGTCACTACACTTCATGCAATTCAAATGCGCTTCACATGGTCAGGTTCTCTCAGCTGTAGCCTCCATTTCATATTTAATTTCCCATACTTGTTCAGGATTTCTGGTAACTATTGAGAAGCCTAGCTGAGGGAAATTCCTAACACACTCAGGAGTACGAGCACAATTGCTGACTCTGTGCAAGGTACCATTAAAATACCTCATTTACATAGTTGTAAGTACACATCACATTGATCTCCTCCATCCCGCGGTAAAAAAAAAAAAAAAGACAAAAATCCTTTGCTCCACTGAGGACATGGCCTATGATACACATCTCTGAAGCAAGATATACTAGTCCACCCTTCCACACATCCAGGCAGACTCACTCCTCCTTACACAAAGGTGCTTATCCATCAGCTGGCTTCTCAGCATGAATGTATTTCTGCTACACAACCCAGTTACTTCCTTCTTCTATGCATGGAAATTACAGGTGACAGAGTAAATACAGCAGGAACACCTGCACACGTCTCCTAGTGACTACTGCCAGCACTGGGTGTTTGAGATATCTTAACTCTTCCCTGGTGTGCAGGTCTTATCTCCTCTTCTTGTGGCTTTCAATGACTAATCTTCATTAAAATTGTTGTACTGGAATTAAAATAAAGTAATCTGAGAATTTTATCTCTAAATAAAGTGTCTTCTCCTCTGAAGTAAGAGCTCCATGTTCCATGACAGATTTGTATTTTCAGCTAGTGCATTACCTACTTACTTTTCTGCCTGTATAAATTGGACCTTCTTTCTGTACCAGAAGAAAAACACAGATGTAATATTTGGTTGTTTATAGAATATTTTGCTGTCATTTCGAATTGGGTGTCACTCTCTGACTTGTGTAATTAGTGCCAACGTTTACAACGTGACATACTTTAATGAACAAAGTCAGATTTTCATAGGCAGCATAGTTTGTAGATGAGCCATGTCAACACACACCCACACCGAAATAAATTCAGGAGAAACAATTTGCCAATAAGCTCTCMTTTGTTTTCCCCTCTCACCCGTGCTGACGCTTCCCAGGTCATCCTGGATTTTGCTTTCCACTGGGTTAGCTCCACGCCAGAGCTGTGAGTTCAAATGACCAAAGGTGCTGAGGAGCTGGTGCAAAAGAACCTTAGGAGGAGAAAGGCATGTTCCTTTTGGCAGTGGTAAGCTGTTGGATACACTTGGTTGTATCACGTGTAAGYCACCCTTCACACTGCCCGGCGGTTCACAACAGCCGCGTTTGCCCGGCACTCGGCAAGCCCCGGTGGAGGTTGGCCGGCTCAYGGTGTCCCTGCCTGAGAGCTGCCAAAATAAGAAGTGAGGTTCCATGAAGCAAAGAGGTCCCCAGGAGATGGGCTCACTGCTGCCCAGGCTCACCGTTCCTCCCCCGCCCCCAGCTCTCCCAGCACGGACCTRTGTCCGGCCCTGCGGAAAGCTCCAGCGCTGGGAATGCTCCTTTTTTTCGCGGGCCAGGAGCAGCGGGAAGCGCACGGGAGAGGCGGCACGGGCTGCACCAGCAGCAGCGGCACCCGGGCCCGTTCGGGGCGGGGAGCGGAGCCGGGATCGCCCCGGTGCCCCCGGCACGGCCTCGGCCGCCCTCTGCCGCCGCCGCGCCGCCACCGCGCCCGCCGGTCCCCGCCACCAGCGCGGGAGGGACCGGGACCGGGACCGGGACCGCGCCCGCTGCGCTCCGGGCTCGCCTTGCCTCCGAGCACACGCTTCTTTTCATCCCACAAGTCCGACGGCCCCTCGAATGTGACGGCGATCAGCGGAAGGATGGCTGAGGAAGAGCTCACTTAGCAGGAGCGACGGACTTGGTTTGGTAGCGCTCGAGTGTTCTCGCTTCCTTTACAAATACGTCCTTAAGGAATTTTAAAACGTTTTGTCTGRAGCTTAACAAATGCAGGGCTGCTGTAACCAAAGACATCACTGTGATCCAGTACATAACGTATTTAGACAGATCGCTCCTGCAGAATTCACATGGAAACAATTTCCTCTTSTACATAAATATTTTTTCGTGATACATTTCTTAGCTTTTCCAAAGGATCACAATTTTTCTACGAAGTAATTTACTCCACGGAGTGGTTTATGGTGTTCAGAGGATTTGAAATTGCTTTCTCTCACAAGACATATTTGCTATTACACACTGTAAGTACTTCTCCCATGGATAGCTTATGCGACCCTACCTGCAATCTCGGCATTTCGGGAAGCTCTACYAGCATCCTGGTACAAACTCCTGAGGGGAGTGTGGGAACTACACTTCTATTCCACAGCAAAAGTTTTAACACAAAAGTAGCAACAACGTTTGTAATCCCCTATCCAGATGTGAGAACCTAAGAGGCTCAATGTGCACAAGTTGTCAGAATGATGAGTGAAAGTAGATCCTCTGAAGAAAAGCACCAGATAAAACTGGGATTTCTCTTCTTCCCCTCTAAGCATTGATGCCACTSTGCTCTGAAAGCCTTCACTACTGTACATCGCTGGTCTGTCCAGCAGTGCTCTCTGGACTGCAGCTCACCCTCGCAGATCTGCTTTTACAAACCTTTTCCCGATACTCAGGTTTCAACCTGATGCACTTAAAACGTTTCATTTCAGTGCTTCTGAGTCCACTTCTGACAATAGGAGTGACACGGGGTTAAGAGGGGTACTTTGTTCAGCCTCTTGAACTCAGAGACTTTAAGTAGAGTGGGAAAAAAGCTACTTGAAAATGTCTTGCTGTGTGTGTGTATATGTGGATGTGTAGGAAGAATTGCCTCTAGGGAAAAGTTGAATAACAACTTTGATAATAAACTGTACTAAATTCCAAAGATTATGTCCTACAGTCTATTTTTATTTTTGAGAAATATTTTTAGTTAGTATTTATATTGGAACAGTATATATATATCCTCCAAGATGGACTAGGGTTTGACTATAAAATCACAAGTAAAATTACAATCTTTTTTTGTGATGAGTTACCACTCCTTCTAATACAAGTAGAAAACAAACATTCTAAACAGTAGAAAAAAAACATTGATCAGCTTTGTCCATGCMTAAGGGGTATAAGGTTTTGCTCATAGTTTAGCAAACTGTCAGTCGAGTCACAATATCTGTTACCTCATGGAAACCTAGCTGAGTTGGTTTAATAAAAAAAAATAGCTGCCTTGGGCTTTCCTTGAGACTGCATAATTTTATACATCTTATTTATTTTTATTTATTTAGCCTTATTCATTTCAATCTACTTTTCGCTTAAAATGTAATATTAACTCTTCCTTGGCTACATCTTCTTTGGTGCTACTGGGGTCTGTCTGGTGACTTCAATAGAAGCCGAGAGCTGAGCACTTTCCCCGGCACCAGGTCTGTAACCCGAGGGCATGCATATGAGGGAGGAGGGATAAGTAGCCCAGCTATTTGCAGGACAATCAGCATGAATAGGAGCTGTAGATTTGCTCCCTGGCCCCGGGGAGCAGTGTGAGCAGTTAGGACACGCATTCACACACACTGCCCGCGCTGGCAGGTGTGAAATCGTACCATACTGGCTCAACTAATATGTATTATTTCCCCAGAAATTCCTGCCTTTTTTTTGTGTTGTCTACAATTTGCAAGGTAGGGACTCTTCATATGTCCACACACCACCTATGTTGGTATAATATGACTCTGTTGTAACAACTGAGGWTTTTTGGAAGGGTAGTTTCATACCTTCAGCCATGAAATCTGATTGGAATGGAATCCTGAATGAATGGAAAAATTTCATTTATAATCRTGAGCTTTAAAACTCAATAATAATTACTTGTATTTTCCATCCATAATTAAAAGGCTAAACTTTTCTGGAGAGAGGATTAGTCCCACCGATTCATGAATTCTTTCATACAATGAGAAAAACTAATTATATGATCTTGTCCTTACAACAAAAACCTGTTTAATGAAACTGGGGTGATTAATGACCATAACTTAGAAATTAGTTTGCAACGGTGGCATTCCAAACCCTCTCTCCCATCACTCTGCAAGATGACTGATGAGACAAAATCCTTCYTCATTGTGCTCAGTCTCAAAAACATAAGCAAATGACAAATGGAGGAGAGCACTATAAATCTCAGTAAATTAATTGGTGTAGCTTTATTAGCTGCTTAAGAGGGGAATCTGTAGTAGGATGTAATACCGCAAAGAAAACATTAATTATTAAATGCACTAAAAAACGAAACAGAGAAAAGAGGTGTACACAGAGTTCATTGCTTCTTCCTAGTCATGGTCAGCAAGCAGGACCTTATGCTCATAATGAAGCTTTAAATGTGTTTTGTAGGAGTCCATACACAAATTGGGATCAGGGATTTCCCTCATGTTTAATTAGCACTCTGAGGAGAGAGGACAATGACATTTGTAGCAGAAGCTAGTGGGCYGTAAAACCAGGCATGTTGGTAGTTAGGTTCAATCAGCTGGAGAGGAGGAAGCTAAATTAYGAAGGAGGGTACATTATGAAGGACTATAAAACTAAAGTTAAAGCCACATTTCCTGGGACTGCAAAGAGCTAGGACACGGACTCCGGGAAAAATGGCACAGCTAATTAACATTTTACTTAGTGAATTACTTTAATGGCACTGTAAATCCATTTACAGTTTGAATTTTTTCCTGAGTTAGGCTGGTTTTTGTCGGGTTTTTTTTTCCTCTTCAAGACCTCTCCCATTTTAATTGATTAATAGGCCATTCTAGATGAAGATAAGAAGGAAAACCTGGTATCTTGAATTGGCAGAACTTATTCATTAATCCTAGATAAGGCTTTAACAGGTGTTAACAAGAGAACTCTTTATTATCAACTACCGATTTTCTTTTCCTCTAGTAAATAACTTTCTATCTGGTCTTCTTCACACAAGAGCAAAAATAGCTTAAAAGCTATTCATGTCACATATTTAACTACATATGTAAATGTTATAAGTTTAGTGATCAATCTTGCCTTACAAGGGGAGGGCTAATTTTTCTTTCTTAAACATTAGACAAATTGTGTGAGAAAGACAAAGCAAAATAGGATATCAGAAATTTCCAAACGAGTGAATTTGAAAGGCTGAGTGAAACAAATCAGGAAAAGGGTGTGTTGACTCTGCTAGAGGCAAGAGAGAAGGCTTTAGATGCTGGCTGTGAAAAGCTCACTTGTTTCACAAGTTTCACAAGTTTCACACTTCAAATGTCTTCCCTTTATTTTGGTGTAAAATGAAAAGGGCAGGAATAAGACTAAAAGAAACCAGAAAAATTAATCCCAAGATCTAGAAAACAAGCACTGATCATTTTGTTAATTCACTCATACTTTGTGAAAGATTAACTTGTTTTGTATGACCTTTCTTTTCTTAAAATACAGAAACTTCTGCATTTGCAAAGTAATTATTTTCAAAAGAACAGCTCATCTAGTTTGGGCTAGATGTAGCTGAGATAATRGTCAGGGAAATTAGTTCTGAATGTAGTATGAAATAAGAAACAGCTCCGTATATAAATATCAAGAAACTGTGTACTATATACAAAGCTGGACTAGTATAGCGTTGACAACTATGGTTCCTGGAAGCTGTGAACTGCTAGTTCACCACAAGAAAAAAAATGCACAAGAGTAAAAGCTTAATATTGAGTGGCTAATGATGTTGAGTACTGATCATTATCTGCTGGTAATATATATGGAGTACAACACATACATAAATATATGTGTGTATACATATATATATGGAGCATACCTAAGATGGGTTGTGTGAGTTCTCCCAAACCGAGATGCTGCAAAAGGTCAAGCACCCTATATGTTCTTGTGGTACTGCTGATTTCTCTGCAAGTAGCCTGCATTTAACAAATGCATTAAGCATTCCAGGAATTTAAAAAAAAAAAAAAAATAGCCACGCTCTTCTAGCACTCAGTGAAAGGACATGAGGCTACGAGCACAAATTGCAATACACTAAGTTTTTCTTAAACTTAAGGGAAGAAGCTCTTTGAGCCAAACATGGGAACAAGTTTCCCAGAGAGGCTGTGGAGTCACCATTAGTGGGAATATTCAAAGCTTGGCTGAAAACAATTTGGAACAATTTGCTCTATTTGACCCTGCTTTTGAGCAGGGGCATGGACTAGACCATATCTAGAGATCCCCTGCCTTGTCAGATCTGCTCTTCTGTCATCCTGTGAAATTGAGAAGGTCAATGTCTCTCATTCAGCTTAGTATTCTTTGGGGTTAATTGAAACAAAACATGATTTTTCAAATTATCCTTGTATGTCATCAATGCACATGATGGTAGTAACCTGTCTGCAGAGCTTTCTACTACTTACACTGATGCACCTCCTCACCCTAAAACAAGAACCCAGCACATACAATCTTCTGTAGTACTCAATGCCAAGTATATGTAAAAAGTAAAAGCTGAAGGAAGTTCAGATGAGTAAGAATTGTCTTTGAGAGCATGTATCTCATCTTTTCCTTCCTCTCCTTTCTTCTGTCTTCCTCTTCGTGTGCATGGTACTGGGGGCTCAGGTAAATGTGGATGGCACTACTTTTTTTTACAAGACTGCACCATAATGAAAAGAGGTGAGTTCTCAGTAACCTGTAGCTTTCTATCCTGTCCAAACAACTTCTGTACAGAGCTACTACACTGTTTGTGATGCCTTTGAAGTTGCCATCTCTTTGAATCCTGAGGTTTTCCAAGCACATTCCGGTGCTAAGAAAAGCAGATATGTGAGCCAGTTCAAACCAAAAGAAAGGAAGGCTGTGAGAGCAGTAGAAGCTGAGTTTGTCAGGAGAAAACCCATGACATTTTGTCCTTTCAGTCAGGTGCGCTTGGCACCTGAAACTACTACCAGGAATTTTGCAGTGCCAAGAGCTTGGAGATAAAACAATGCTGGTGGGTGTGGGTATGTGAAAAGTTAAAATCTGGTTTCTGCAGACTGATGGTGGACTATAATATCCTGCAGCAGATTTTAAGGAAGGAACCAAGGAGGAAAAAATAAACAATCAAACAGGTAAAGCTGAGGCATCTAGAGTGTGTAAAGAATAAATATATTCTTAAACACTTGTTATGGATGCATAAAAATAACTTTTCTTCCGATGCATGGTTTTACATTTTTAATTCAACCTTTTTCCCCTTTGCTTTTTAAATGTTTCTAGGAAACAAACTGGAGTTCTGAGCCTGGGGAACAAAATAGAGTGCAGAGAGCAGGAAGATAAGAGATTATTAAGGGGATAAATTCTGCTGCTATTTGGACACGGGACAAAGTTTTCTTTTAAACATTTTTTCATTGGGCAGCTTTCACATCTCTATTTTTCCTTGTTGCTATATTTTTTTACTTGTCAAGATGTTAATGGAAAAATAATGCAAGTTGAGCAGACCTTCTCATTCTGGATAAAGAGAACTATAATGGAGAAAACACAAGGCTGATGCAGAATATTTGTCTCACATAACTTGTTTCACCGAAAAATAATGAAATATGAATATTGCAGCAAAATCTTAAAACATTGGCTTTATGCCAAAGTATGGGAAAGAGCAAAAAACACAATTCAAAATCAGGTGCTTATGATACTTACAAATTAAAAAGTGCCTTTCCTGTGTGAAATTACATAATTGCTTGCAGGGAAAAAAAAAAATGAAACAAGGTTGTGCAACATTATTAAACTACTATCATTGACCTGAACGAAATATTTTATCTCTATAAACAAGAGAGACTTGTGACTTTGTTCTTGTATTTGACAAAGCACATTTACACTAACACCAGAAAAACTCCTTCACCCAAAATAACTCACTCAGGGCCCAGTCCCACGTGCTCTGATGGCAATGTCAGCCCTGATGGGAATTCAAGAGCAGGATTGAGTGCATGTCTAACATGCAGTTGACATTAATATTTTCTCTATGCAAGATTAGCATATAAATTATAATTCAGTTGTGTATTTTTCCTAAAAAGAAAAAAAAAAACAAAACTCCATAATGACTCACCAGGTTTGTTTTTTTTATTACATGTAACTTTTACAGAGGAATGAGGGGGACTTCATTCTAATTTTGAAGTCTTTTTCTTAACAGCTACAGAACCATTTTTCCCACGCTGGTACACATGTCCTTCCAACTATAAACAGAGGGGCAGAATTTATATGTAGAGTTCTGGAAATCTCTTTACAATATCTAAAAACAGCCTTTCAGCTTGTGAGAATTTTGCCATGATAAACTACATCTTGTAGTTTGTTAAAATGGGAGTGCTCAGTATGACTGCAGAGAAGGAAATCCCAGATCCCCACAAGTAAATTTGTTGCTATTTCCAATAGATAATAGGAAAGTATTTCCTAATGGGACAAAGGTCAGTACTGGTGTCTTAAGACTTGGACTAGACTAACTTGATGATGAGGTAGAACAAAGTATCTATTAGCAGGAACCTTTTGTCAGTTTTCACATGGTGGCAATTTGGGATATAAGCTAACCAAGCAATGGTGTAGTGAGAAGTCAAGGTTAAAATGGAGTAGATACTTGCAGCAGCCTTGGAAATACTTATGAGGCAAATCTGCATTTGTAGTTAACATAAAAGGGGAAGGAAAGGTCATTTAACAGCTGACAAAAAAGAAGGAATGAGGAAGAGGAGATGATCTTGTCCGGAGTACAGAGGCCTGTGAGACTCATTTCAAAATTCTCACCTTTAGTAGTACTATTTTGTATAATCCAAGACTTTCTTTTTTTAAAAAGATATACATACTCGTAAAGTTACCAGCACATTAACCTCTGACTGAAGATTACATACAGTCCTCTTGAAGGATTTTTTTGAAGGATTTTCTCTACCTGTAGAGAGCATTTTACAATTACTCAATCCACAGCTCTGCATCTCCTATTTGTAACTCTTTCTCCTTCCTTTTATTAAGACAGGCACTTGTTTCTTTGTGAATTCTACTCCTTATTTATATGCACATAGGCATGGCCCCTTACAAAGCTAATAACCAAAAAATTGCAATACACTCACGAGTGCTACTTTTCCCTTGGCACTTATGCACACAGCAGCTCCTTGATGGGTAAGGAAGGGATGTCCTGCAACAGTTGGCAGAAGGGGAAGGAAGTGGAGTGCGACTGGAGCGCAGAGCTGCTGCATTTGCAAGGCACGAACTGTTGTGTTGATGTTGGAAGGTTTCTGGGGAGCAACGGAGTTCAAGGACTGAAAAGTGTGTTAATAATTAAGGCAAATACCTACATTTGACAGTGGAAATGAGGTGATCACTTAACGTACTGTAATTTTGTGCAGTGATTGAACTGCAATGCATCACTTATTTTAAACGCCGCTTCTCGGTAAGCGAGTTCATGCTCTCGGCTGCTGATCGCCCCTGCGGACGTGCCTTCAGGCCGGGCTGCCGGCGGCACCGAGCACCGGCGCTCCGCACGCCCGAGGCTGCAGGAAAGCTCCGCGCCACGCACAGCGGGGAACACACCACCCCCAAAAGGAAAAGGGATAAAGGGAGGAGACAGAAACATTCCCACAATAAATGTGCCAATAACAGCACAACTGTAAAATTCAAACACGCCGATCCGCTCGACATCTCAAGGCTCATCCGGTGCTCGGCGCCTGCCCGCCTGCCCAGCACCGGGACCGCGCCGATAGCCCATGGCCGCAGGTCCCGTATGACCCCAGGCCGGCAGCTAGCCCTCGGCCGCGGGGCCGGCCGGGAAAAGGCCCCGACACGGCCGCTGGTCCCGGCCCGCGCTGCCCGCGGGGCCTCACCGGGACACGGGCCCGGGACACGGCGCGCGGAGCCGCGCCACACCCGTTAACGGCCGCGCGGCCGCAGCGCCCCCTGGCGGCCGGAGCGCCCCCACCGCACCCCGAGCGCGCACGGAGCGGCGGGGCCCGCGCGAGCGGCGGGGCCGGGGCGGGGCTCCCGCGCGGAGAGGGGCGGGGCGGAGACAGCGCCGCGAGCCGATTGGCTGCTCCGCGCCGGGAGGCGCGCCCCGCGCTCGTAGCGCTCCGTGATAGGCCGTCGAGGCCCTGAGGGGGCGGGGCGCTGCGGCACGGCGCGCCCCCGTTGGCTGCTGCTCTCGCCTGGGCGCGGCGGGCGCTGCCATTGGCCGCCTGGCGGCGGGGGGCGGGTCCGGCGGCAGCGGCCTCCCGGGGCTGGGGTCCGTCTCGGCGGCAGCGGCGGAAGTCTCGCGAGGGAGCGCGGCCGGGATTTGGTGGTGCTGCCTCCCTCCTCCCTCCCTGCCTGTCGCTGGCTGCGAGGCGCTGGTGTTTGTGTGGAAGGGGGAGGAGGAGGAGGAGAAGGAGGGCAGGCGAGAGGAGCCCGAGCCCCACCATCCGCCGAGGGGAGCGGACCGGAGGCCCCTCGCCGCCCGCGGAGCTCTCTCTCCCCTAACTCGCCCCGCCATGGCCTCGGGAGACACCCTGTACATCGCCACGGACGGCTCGGAGATGCCGGCCGAGATCGTGGAGCTACACGAGATCGAGGTGGAGACCATCCCGGTGGAGACCATCGAGACCACCGTGGTGGGCGGCGAGGAGGACGAGGAGGAGGAGGAAGAGGACGAGTGCTGCGAGGAATGCGGCCCGCACCACCCGCCCCATCACTACCACCACCACCAGCCCATGATCGCGCTGCAGCCGCTGGTGTCGGACGGGGACCCCAGCGGGGCGGGCGGCGGCGCGGCCGGCGGCGGCGGGGGGCAGCTCCACCTGCACCACCACCACCAGGAGGTGATCCTGGTGCAGACCCGCGAGGAGGTGGTGGGGGGAGACGACTCGGATGGACTGCGGGCCGACGACGGGTTCGAGGACCAGATCCTCATCCCGGTGCCGGCCCCCGCCGGGGAGGACGAGTACATCGAGCAGACCCTGGTCACTGTGGCCGCTGCTGGCAGCAAGAGCGGAGGCGGCGGCTCCTCCTCGGCCGGTGGAGGAGGCCGCGTTAAGAAAGGCGGCAGCGGCAAGAAGAGCAGCAAGAAGAGTTACCTGAGCGGGGGAGGCGGCGGCGGGGCCGAGGGCGGCGGCGGCAGGAAATGGGAGCAGAAGCAGGTGCAGATCAAGACCCTGGAGGGGGAGTTCTCGGTCACCATGTGGGCCTCGGGTAAGTGCGCGCCGGACCCCTCCCTCCCTGGGCCGCGGGCCCCGCCGGCGGCCGCGCGGTGCGGCCGGGACAGTTTTGTTTTGAAGGGAGGCCATGTTTTGATGTGTGCGATGGGCGCCGCCATGTTCATCGCCAGGGCAAGTATGGCGGCTCCCCGAAAAGATGGCGGGGTCTGCGCTGCCGCCGCCGCTCCTGCCCGGCCGCGGCGGGGGGAAGAGGCAAACATGGCGGCGGCGGCCAAGATGGCGGCGGCGGGGGGTGCGCGGGCGGGCGGCAGCGCCGCCGGCTCCCGGGCCAGGCCGCAATGGCGTAGTTTCTGCAGCAGGGGGAGGCGGGGTGCGGGGCGAACCTCCCCGCGCTCCCCCCGTCCCCGCCCCGCCGCCGCTCCCCGCGGGGCCCGCTCCGCGCCTGCCCCTCGCCCGCCCTCCCCTCCCCCGGCCGCCGCCGCCCTCTGTCCTCCTTCTCCCCCGTGTCCCGGCCCGCCGCCCCTCCCCGGCTCCCCGCCTGCCGTTCCGCTCTTGTCGCTCCCGCCCCGCGGCCCCGAGTGAGGCGTGTGCGCCGGGCCGTGACCGCGATGTGCGGGCAAAGACGCGTCCGCCCCGACCCCGCGGCTCCCCGGCCCGGGGACGGCGAACCCCGAAATACCGTGTACAGCTCGCCCGGGGGGCCGCTCGTCCCCGGCCCTCTGCGGTGCCGGGCGGGCGGTGGGTGGGGCCTCCCCGCCCGGAGCCCGCGGTGCCGGCGAGGGGAAGCAGCTCTTCGCCCCCGCGGGGCTGCCCGCGCCTCCCGCCGGCTCGGAGGGGGCGGCCGCAAACAACCGGCCCTTCAGAGCCCGAGGGGCGCCGGGGGTGACAGCCGAGAGGGGCGGCTCCGGAGCTGACCTCCGTCCCTGGGAGCCGCGGGGGGGAAAGGGGCAATTCCTGGCTGGCTCTCGGAAACCGTCCGACTTTTCTTTGGCTGGGTCTGAAGCTTTAAATGAGCTTTTTAAGTAGGCTCAGGGAGACCTTGTAGTGTGAGATTCTGGTTTTTGAGGAATTTTTTTTTTTTTTTGTGTGTGTGTTTTGTGTGGGAGTGTCTTTTAAAGGCAATTAAATCTTGTGAAAGTGTTCAGTGTCTGCGGGACTTGAAGTAAATCTGACGTCGTGCACCTGCCCTGCCCACTTTCTTCTTTTTTTTATTTTTACAAAAATGTATTGCCGGCAGCAATGGTCTGTAATCAGAGTTCTATCCGTAAGTTACGTAAATGTAAAAAAAAAAGAGGTCAGACAATATCAGTTCATGTACTGTTTAAACTGGTGGGTTCTTTTTGCATAGTAAGTTGGTCATCTAACTTGCATATCATAATTTTTGTGCTCTTTCTAAATTTTTAAAAAGAGTCAAGTAAGATAGAGATACTCTCGAAGCTTGGGATGTTTGCAAATGACCAGTAGTTGTTATAGGGGAAAGTGTGTTGTTGGATGGCTGAGTTTCTCTGCCTGAAAAGATGGAAAGCACAGTGGTTTGGATTTTTGCTCTTTTTAAATACAGGTTACTATTTTAGTAAGTTTGACACTATTGGCATGTAGTCAGTTGACAATCTGATGAGTTTGATTGAAGTTTCTTGATGAAGAGTTTCCCAAATACTGTTTAGTGTGATGGTGTTCTGTCTGCATCTGTATATCACTGTATGAAACTGAATAAATTCCCTTGCTGGTATTTTTCTTACAACTGACCATCAAAGAAAGATAAAAGATAATAGAAACTAATACAGTCTCCTGGCTTGTAGAAGCTGCCGGAGGAGCAAGCTGCCGGAACGCGAGTGGCTGTATGACTCAGGAGCTGGCAGGATACCGGATACAGGAGCTCGCTGAGATCAATTGACAATTTCTAGCATGCATTTGCACTCGGAAATTCAGAGTGCCTGATAGGATGCTTCCTTAGGATTGCATGCTGATTATTACTTGGCCGAAGTGAAGCATGTGTATAATCAATAAATTTACTTCTCTTCCCAAATACACAGCTTTTACATCAGGGGCGGCCCTATTGATTTTGGGTGGTTTTCTTCTTCAGGAGCATGACCATGCAAGCTCGCTAGGAATGATGCCCACTTATAATTTGCTGGAGATTGGATTGCATTGCTACATTTAACTCAATTGTATCCATGATGCAAAAGAATGGAGAATACCTAGTCTGACTTGACTTCTAATGCCAAAAAATGCCCTTCCAAAAGCATAATCAATATATAGGGAAAAGTGTTAAAGTTGAACCTCCCTTCCTTTTGTGCATGCCCACAGCTTCAACCAGATTTTGGTAATAACCTGCTCAGTGGTGAGTTGTGTTGTGAGGTTTTAGTGAGACGATTGGATAGGCTCTGATGCCTCATGTGCAGCTTATGTAATGTTAAGAGGAGGGATCTGATGTGGTCAAATGCTGGGGTTTTCTTTTTTCTTTTTTCTTTTTCTTTTTTCTTTGAAACTTCAGAGGCCAAATTGTTGCCAGAGAAATTGAAAAAGAAACAAAGCTTGAGGCAGAGTGATATACACCCAAACCAAGTCCCAAGCTGAATACCCCCCCTCAGAAACTCCAAACTAAATCAATGCCAAGAAAATACAGAACCACTGGCTTGCAAAAGGGTAGTTCTAAAGTTTCCCTGGAGAATCAAGTATTCTTTATTTTGAACACATACAGTTTTGCATCAGTATTTCGACATAATTAAAGACTTGCTTGCACACTGATTCAATTGACTATTTTAAAAGCCAAGTGAAAAGTTAATCAAAAGACAAATGGTAGTGCAGGCCATGCATCAAGATAAAGCAATGAGCCCTGTATTGCTGTACATGGGATTTTGAACTGGGAACAAGGGCACTTTGCTCACCACAGTGTGGCATGACAATGTGAATTAATTCCTTGTTAACATTTGCTGGTACTACTATATTAGCTTGTTCACGGGTGGTACCAAATTTAGCCAATCATAATTCTTTTTCCGTAAATGAGTATAGCATGTCTTGTAGCACCTCTTGAAATGTGTAGAAATAATCTGTGAAATCTATAGCAATGTGACTAAAGGGAACTCCTTAATCCTCGTTTTGTTATGTGGTTACTTAGAAATTGCAGTACTGTTGTTGGCAACGATTTAGACTTACTGTAACTTCTCTTATCACCTTGGTATCTATGGTGATATCAAACTTGTGACCCATGATTAAAGTGTTTAGTTTGAAACAGGAATGCCTTGTTCTAGTTCAGATCAGATTTTCAGCTCTTCAGAATAGAATTGTTTGTCTTTCTTCATGTGTTGATGAAAGTAAGGAGTGAATGAAAGTATTTCTGAAAGGGTTGAAGAGATGTATTTGGTGATACTTCGGTCACGTTCCTATAGGGCGTTTACATTATACCTATCAGAAAATTGAATATAGTTAATTGGGCGCTCCAAGTGAGACACCCCAGTTTGTACTAAAAAAATTGTTTTTATCAAGTGGAATTTATTTGTACCTTAGCTGGATTCAACTTGAATCTTTCTCTTTAGTGGTTTTTTCCAGGTTGGGTGCACAATAGTGAAGGGGGAGGGGAAGGATTGTGAGAAATCACTTTGTCAGATGGTGCTTGCAAAACTGATTCTTGCATGCAGGAACATTTGGGAAGGTGGTGCTTAAATGCTGGTTGCACCAAATGCTGGAAATTTCAAGCAATTGAGGCTTAAACTTAAGGGGGAAAAATATATTAGTGTAACTCTATCTTCTGGGTAATGACTCTGTCAGGCTTTCAAACCTGAAATAGGTGTTAGCTTAAAACTATTGTTGTTAGCATAGTCTGCAAGCTAAGGGGTGAAATAGCACAACCAAACATTGCTCACAGATGTTAAACTGCTCAAGTGTCCCATCCCTAGATGGGAGAGACAAAGATGCACAAGTTACGTGTGTGTTTTGGAAATTATTTCTGATAATACAGTAAGCCAGTGCGGTGGGCCCATATTTGAAAACTTAAGGAGTTTGTGCTGGGTTTCTAGAAGCTTCTTCAAAATCTCTTAAACTTTCAGTGTCTCAAAAAAGAAAAGGGTTTTCATTTTATTTCATTAGATTGCAGGGGTGAGAAAAATAACCATCTGCTGTCTGACCAGTTGTCTTATGTAGTATAAATGATAGATGAGTCATTTGTGGGCCTGTATCAAGGATGGCTGAAATGCTTTGCAATGACAGATAGGTAATGAGCTCCTTTTAAAGTTTTCATAATGGAGACAGAAATTGGTTCTCTGGTTTAAAATATTAAGATGACAATCTATTTCTGACTCTGATTAAGACAACGATGTAGGCTTCTGCTATAAGTATTGAGTCTGCCCTGGCATTTTTTCCAGTGATAAGGCAGACCTTTCTATGTATTTGTTTTAAGTCTAGAACCTTCTAAAATAACTCAGTTAATTTGCTTCTTAGCCCACCTTCAAACTACAGTCCTCTAACTTGCTGTCGGATCCTTCCCCGGGACGTTCAAGTCGCTCGTATGCTGACCATTCAGAAGGTCATAGTGCTTCGGCACAGTCTCATAAATGCTGAAGTCAGATGATGACTCTTGATATATGCGCTGGTTTTGTCAGTTCATGTCTCAGTGGTGTGAAATAAGAGATGGGTGACACAGGGAAAGAAGAACCTGTTCTCCATCTGTGTGCAAGGCACGTCAGAGAGAAAGTAACCTAGCAGCCGTTTAGGTTAAAAAATGACATACTGTGCAAAATGGAATTTTAACATTCAGAAGTGTCTGCTAAATAACGGTATTATTTAACAAGCTAATTACAGTTCTTTGCTTCCAAACATGACCAATGAACTAATTCGCCTGAGGAGATTGCAATGTGGTAGCAATAACCAAGCTGTTACCACAGTGCCTTGGTACTGCACAGCTGCCGAATACATCCTTTATCCTGTAATTGCTTTTCAGCTGTTCCTAAAAGCAAATGTGTTTAACCCTGTGATCATAAAAAGAGAAATTAAATGTTTTTCATCCTTTCAGTAGCTAAGTAGAATGTCTTTTAACTTGGTGCCTTGAGGAGGAAGCTGTAGGGTCAGGTCTCATTGCTTTGCCACCAGGTGGATCTTCCAAGTTCCTTTCTGCACCCTGTTTTCCACAGATGAAAACTGATTGAACAGCAACGTGTTCTCCGTGCTTAGTAACAGAGCAGGAGGATGGCTCAGAGATTTGGCGGTTTAGAAGGGGAATACAATAAAATCAAAAATAAGTGAGGAAAAAAGTACTGACAGAGCTTCTTGGGTTGAGAGCTAAAAGGGTAATTTTAGAAAGCTGGGGAGTTCCAGAGTTGTCAGGTGGAGTTATCTACTAGTGCAGAAATACACAAAATAATGGGATTCCAAGGTGGATGCATTTTTCTGAGCAATTGCAGGGCTGCAAGAGATGGAGAAAATGTGGTAATAGGAGCATAATGTGATCAATAAAGTCTTTCGAAGCATATTTTACAGTATTTTGTTATTGACTTGTTGCATGGAGACTGTAGTTACTAGTTCTATCCCAGTAATCATCTTCCTATTTCAGTTGATACTTGGGCTTAGTTCTCTTAAAACTTCAGGTAGTTTCACCAGTAGTCAAAAGACATGAGTGGCTAAACACTGAACTTCCACTGATCTTAATAAAAAAAAGTTTGACATACTTGCCTTGAAGGGCCTGAGTGGGTCCAGTTCAACATGTGTATTGCCCATATTTAGGGGACAGTGAGACAAGTGCAGATGGACTGAACATGATGATGTGCTAGGGTATGTCCTAAAAAGGTGCATAGAACAACCCAAGTATCTACCTTAATGTGATTTGGCTTAGAAGGCTGTAGGGGGGTGTCTGTGGTGTCTCTAACAAATGAGTGTTTTACAGCTATGTAAGATAGATGAATATTGGATGTAGCTATTGCCCTGACTGATTGGATGTTTTTGTGAAGATGATTATTAACTAATTGACACATGCTCAGATCCTCTGTGTCTTCCAGAAGAGGCCATTAAAATTGTCTTCCAAGTTCATTACACGAAAGTGCATTGGATCTATAAGAATAGTGATTAGGCCAAATGCCTTATATTTGAGTCTGCTACACTCTTCAGGTCGTTTTAAGGCACAAAACAAAGTGGATCAGATAGTATGTATTGCAGTTCATTTCCTTTTCCTGACTGGCTCGACGGTTCTGTCCATATTTAACTTGTATGGGTGGCATCCAGAGGTGTCACCATAATTTCAGGGTTGTGTCTGTTTTTGGTTAGCTTTGGATGCAGTATTTTTGATTCTTTGATGCTTCAGGAGAGGAAAGGGAGGAAGTCATTTGCCTATGGCAGACACCAGGACTTGCTTCAGGCCAAAAAACATCAAGCAGTTAACTTGCCCAGTTTGCAGCGAGAATTATCAGTTAACTTGTCAGCCTGAGTGAAAGTTTGCTTGCACTTTACCCTCCAGACTTTGAGCTGCCTAGTCCAGGTTGGTAGGCTAGCACAAATAGAACAAAATCTGTGCAGAGAGGACATTGGTAAAGTTTTTCCATTTCCAAACTTCCTCCAAAGAAGTGGGTGTGCGGGGGGGTTCATTTTGTTTTCCCAATAACTTAATAATGTCATAGGGTGGTCAGGATACTGAAGAGCTACTGAAGTCCACTGCTAGTTTTTCAGAAGTATTAGCCTAAGATAAGACTTCAGGCTAGCTGTTTTGTATTTTATTGTTTTGGTTTAAATTTGGTTTTAGAAGTGGAGGGGTGTTGTGCTGCAGAGATGCAATTTTTTATTATAGGAAAATATGGTGGTTTTTTATTTTCACATAACTGTCAATATGCTAAATAATATTAGTAATTTTTTGTGTTTTGCTCCAGTAGTCTGTGGAATTAAATAGCTGTAGAATTGGCTTCTGTTGGCGGGCTTTTGGAAGGTAAAGGCACTGAAGGCTGACTTTCAGTTTGGTACTCAATAGCAAGAAAGCACTGGGGGACTGTGGACCTTTACGCTAGGGAGGGAAAGAAGATATTTAAGAATGTATACAAAATTTCCCTGCTGACTCACACATCAGATACGAGGCAGGAAATGAAAACTTCTGTGTTATGAATGTCATCAAGCAGTCAAACTGCACGTCCTGGGTAGCTGTTGAAATGGCCACGTTAAGGACAGCTGATCTCGTTCTAGTCTTCAGCATGGAGAAGGTGTCACTTTTAGCTTTGCAAAAATTTTGTCTCATTCTCAGCTCCATGTCTTTCTGCCTGKAWAGGCGTTGCTACATAATCTTTTTTGAAGCTTCTGTTAGAAAGAACAAATTGTTGCCAAATTAGAGGATTATCGACTTGAATTTGTGACTCTTCAACTGCTGTAAAATTAAACATATAATCCTTGCTTAAGGTAAATTTAGTTGCTTTTTTAAAGAACTGGTAGAGACTGAAAGGTAGTGTGTTGAGTGGACAACTGAAAAGGTCAATAGTCAATTTTGTAGTTTATTTTGACTTTAATGCTGCAGATAGTATTTTCTTATTTACACTTCTGTCTTTGCAGCATTGGAGTCTGTTTTCGTCTTTCACCATGGAATATACATGAACTGCTATTTGATCTGGTAGATCAGATTAAACCCCAAACTAGCAGTAACATTTCTAGAAATAGCTCGGTGGCAAACATTAAAAGCAGGCATTACAAATTGAATAGAAATTTGTGTGTACTATATTTCTTTTATTTGCATGTCTTGTTCTTTCTTTCTAGCCTCAGTTATTTCTTGTGTTTCTGTTTAAGGAAAAAAAAAAAAAAACCCAAAACAGTTTGTCTTATGTTTTCTGCCTTATGTTTTGTTATCTTTTTTTTTTAATTGGTGGAATAATATTTCTGCCCTACCACCTTATATTTCAACTGTTTAAACAATATCTGTAAAATAAAACTTCCTGTTATTTTTGTATAGCCTCTTGTGTATAAAACAATTTTCAGAATCTGCTCCCCATACTCATAGTAGGAGAAGTAGTGTGCTGTCAAGTCCTATTACATTGAACTGACTAGTTACAGCTATATATACATCTGTTGTCCTAGGTGTGTTTGAGGGTGGAAAATGGGATAGGTGCTTGCTTTCTGCTGCTGTGAACACTGCAGTGAGGAACGTAGATAGATGTTTCTGTTCTCTGCCATTTTTGTGTCTGTTTCTGTTACAAAATAGCAAGAGGAGATAGAATATGCATGTTTTCTAAGGTATGAATGTGAGTAGACAGCAACAGCAGGTCTTCCGCTTGATTTCACTGTACTCCTTGAGCACAAATTCATAGGAGGAGCTCTAGAGCAGAGAAAGCAGCAGTATCTTAACTGGCTTGCAGATCAAAGCTTTGAATTATCCCAGTCTGCTGTTTACATAGTAGAGTGGAAAAGACCTTAGGCTGGCCTTTGGCACAGAAGGAAGAAGCCCCCTTGGGACACAGACACAGAAGTTACTTGCTTTGAGGCCTGTTTGTAAAAGTTAGAAAACCTTAATTTTACAGGCAGGTGCTGAAGCACATCAGCAGTTATTTTCAAATTTCTTGTCACTGTTTCTGTTGGAGGTCAGGGGAGTCTGAAGACTCTGAAATAAAGATGCGTAGTCCTGACATCTTAGGGTACGTGTCTGCTGCTCTTTTGATTGGTTTGCAAAGTTAGGGACTACTTCTGACTATCAGAGTAGGTATGATGAAGATTAGTCCTGAAGAGGTTAAGGGAATTAAGTATTTAGGCATTGTTTCAGGAAAAGTACATTATCTTTCATATGCAGCCAACATTCATAGGATAGTTCTACTTATTCCTGTATTTATTGGTGTTTGAAATAGATAGGCAATTTCTGCTTTTTTTCCTCACTCGTATTCTTTCTGTGTTCTTCAGTCTGTGACTGTATGGGGGTGTTTTTGCTCTTCACAGGGTGGAAATCCAGAAGTGCAGTGTATTCTTTTTAATGTGCAGCAGTAGTGAATTTGTACTGAGATGTAGCCTAGTAATTTGTATGCCGTTTGACCTTTAGTATTTATTGAATTCAGTATTTTGTGTATTTCAGATGACAAAAAGGATATTGACCATGAAACAGTGGTGGAGGAACAGATCATTGGAGAGAATTCTCCTCCAGATTACTCAGAATACATGACAGGGAAGAAACTTCCTCCTGGTGGAATACCTGGCATTGACCTCTCAGACCCCAAGCAACTGGCTGAATTTGCTAGGTAAGTAGGAAGAAAGGAACTTTAAGATTGTTTTCTTTGCGCTGGTTTAATTATGAAACTGTTAGGCAAAATGGTATATCTAGTATGGCTCATTATTCCATTTAATTATCTTCTAAAACAAGGGACTTAACACAGCACCATCTACTCTGTTGTGAACTAAAATAATGGGATTTTATATTCAACAGCAGATTATTCAGTGACTTCTGGTCTTTAGTTCCATTGGGTAAGACGGGACCTCAATACATTGATAGACTGCATCACTCATCACTCTAGGTAACCCTTACCTTAGGAATAAGACTAGAGGTCCCTTCCAAGCCAAATAAATCTGTGATTTTACATGACAGAATGTTTCTTTCATGTGAGTAGCCTTAAATTCCTAAGCAGCAAAGGATGCAATAAGTGAAATGCTGCATTCGGATTGTTCAGTACAAAATATCAAGGCAACAGTATTTGGTTGGCAAAGCCACTTACTGTTCTTTTTCACCTGCTTCTTAAGATCTTAAATCGTGTGTCCATCACTTTCAAGGGCCACTGATAATTGCAGTTTCACAGTTGGTAACTATACTGTTTGGATTTTCTCTAGTGAGTCAGAATTGTCACTGGTTTGCATATCAATAGGTTGACCTAAGTAACAAGGTGACTTCTACTTTCAAATGGTAGTGGAGTGACTTTCAGCGGGGCGGGGGCAGTGAGTGTCCTGTGGGCCCGGCTCTGTTCAGGGCTCTCGGGGCAGCCCGTGGCCACCAGAGGGCAACCACGAGGTCAGCGGAGAAGCCGCTCCAGCGCCACAGTGGGGTTGGCTCTGCCTTGGTGCCCTGGTCCCCTTGTGCTCCGCTCAGTGCAGAGGCAGCGTTAGTGCTGTCTCCAGATGTCTGAGCACGGCTGCTGGCTTTCTCTGCCTGCTGCTGCCAGGTTTTCCCCATCTGAAAGCAAAGTGTGCGTATAAAGCCACACTCATTTTCATGTTTTTAGCGGCTGGCTGTTGTTCAGAACTCAAGTGCACAACTGTGACACTTAAAACAGGTGGACAGTCAGATGTTGTTCTTACTTCCTGGGTCAGAGAGAAGTGTGCCTTTTTCCAGATAGTTGGAAGGGAGGGGGCAGGGACTGTTGATACGAGTTCTGGTCTGGCTTCTTGGGTAGCTGGATCTTGGTGTTTAGTGTGTGCGTTTACTCCTGTTTCACCTTTTTGGTCTTGCTGCTTTTTACAGGTCTTGTTCTGTTACTGTGTAGCATGTTTGTGGTGGAGGAATAAAAGCAGGGCCTCATTCCACAATTTACTTTCAGTAAAGCCATTGAACCATGAATTTTGAAGGTTTCTAGTAAAATAGTTCTGCAGGGTTTGCTCCCTGCTTCAGGCTATGTGATCTGGGAATGTGTAAAAGCACATTTAGCTTTATCACAAATAGCTGAAAAGAGGGTTCTATCTGAAGTGATGAGTGGTTCTAGCTATTGATAACTCTTCATTCTCGTTTTACTATCATTTGTCAAAGTTACTCTGTTTTTTTCTGGGACCTGCCGGAGAGTTCATACAATTTTTTGTGGAAGCAGCTGTTAAAGTGATACTCTGGAGTGTACATAGTGTTCCAGTTCTAAACTGTTACAGGTTTCTACTCGTCCTGTGTTTAGAATGGTGTTCTCCATTCCTTCAAAACATGCTAAAATCTTTGGTTTTATGAAACACTGAAGTACTGGATAGCTGTCTCTTGTTAAGAAAAGGAAATAATTTCTCGCAGGATATTCTCCATGCAAATACTGAATATTTTTTCTCTAGATTGGGTTGAATACTTCATATGATTGTCAGGATTTGGGCTTCTTGAAATGAGCAGGCTGCTTCTATCAGATGTGTCTGCATATTTCTGAATTTGTAAAATGTTTTATTTAGGTTCCTATTGAGAAAATAGTGGCTGCTGGCAGTAATTTAAAATTACTTTAATATTTATAGAAGGACGTTATAGGAAGTTCCAAAGCTGGAATTTGTAGCAGGTAGTAGAAAGATTCAGTTTTATGTGTACAGCCTCTTTTCTCACAGCCGATAAAATGTAATCCATTTCAGTCAGAAAGGAAATACCTGATGGTGGAGTAAGCACCTTGCGGGGACATTGCCTTTAGTAATAACCCTATGTTGCTCAAAACCTGAGAAAAATTGTTCTTATAGCTTAATTGTGTATATATATGAGACTTTCATGCATCATCTAAGCTTTTTTGATTTCTTGGTCAGAATTGTTGACTATCAAACTTACTCTTGCCTTACAGTTGTATGTTATGTCTTAAATGGTTGTGTTTGTTTATTCTTCTGAGACTGAAGAGTATGGGTGTTTTAGAATTTGAATATTTCTTGTTAAAGTCTTGGTCCTCTTGGAATAAAGCATGTTGAAGGGACTCCTTAGCTAATACGATGGATTCAAGTACTGATACCTGCAGACTGCTGTTCAGTTGTCTTGTTGACCTTGCTGTGTGCAGTATCACTAGAAAATCTGCATGGCAAACTGCAAGATAAAATTTGTTTTTTGTGTCTGGAATTGCTTTGGAGGTTCAAGAAATACAGTTTTTCATGTTAAAAAAAGGTGTTTGTTTAGTGTAAAGTTCTCTGAAATTGTCAAACATTGCTCATTGCTTTACAGTTGAGCATTTCAAAATTCTCAGTAGCTGTATTCTGAAGACTTGCAGCAGCAGATGAAGCTGAAACTTTTAAACTTAAGTAGCTTCACGGGCTTTAGGATTTTGAATAATGAACTTGTATTTAGATTACTTGAAAAAAGAATTGTGACAGTGCATATTTAAGGAAATGTGAACTGGCTAGTGAAATTGTATGCTAAGTGCACACTCTGAACCAGGCTAGATCCACTATGTATAACAATACAGCTTATGTTGATTGAGGATAAATTGACTTGAAACTTCTGCATCAATTATTAGGAACAAAATTCTGAGGTTAAGCTTAAACAGATAAAGCTTAAATTCTAGGGGAATAGATTTTGGCCAAGGTTCTGGTGTTCTCATCATGATCTAGTTAGTGGAAGGTAACACAGGGACAAATCTGATGTTTGAAGTTGTATGTAGCTCTGCAACCCTTAAAAAAACAATTCAGAACTGTAGTAATCGAGCATCTGCAGTGGCCACCAGTGCTCAGAGTTCAGTGGCTCTCACAGAGTGGTTGTGTGATACAGTTGTCTTCCACTGCCTCGTTTAGAGCATATGTCATTGAGTCACGTAGCAGGAATCTGGATCCTTTAACTGGAACTCCGGCAGTTTTTCCTGGAAAAGCTTTTTGTATGCGTTCTGTGATTCCATTGAAAACTATGAATAAACAGGCTGTGTCAGAACATTGACATGTTCAGTTATGCATACACAAATGACCATAAGTTACACCTGGTTGGCAGCTTATCACCTTTTACAGATTACTTCATTCTTTTTCAGGAGTCTTGAATATTCTCTAGCATGCTTTTAAAATGAAATAAAAAAGAAGAAAATAATTCTCTTAGGCAGTCATATCAGAATGTGAAATGTAAAATGTTGATTGTGAATGAACTGCTTAGAAGGACAAAATCTAATAAATTACCAGATAAATAAATTTACCATGTTTTCATTTAATACATTTGGCTGGGAAACTGGAGATCCCTTCAAGTGGAATAAAATGTTTCATCCAAATCTAAGTTGGTGACTAAGTAGTTACCTGTGAAGAAATCATAGCTGCTTGGTAATGAAAACTTGGGAAGGTAGCAGGGATATTTGTAGTATGTCTATATGGCAAATTCCCTCAAAGCAGGCCACTAAAAGGGATATCCCTGATTGTCCCCGCCCTCTTGTCCTCTAAATACATGACTGAAGTGGCTAAAGACAGCAGAACACAGACATTGGTAAAACAAAGAAATAAGAGGGAGTGTCCTGTAGCTGGGAAATTGGCACTGTAATGGGTCCTGGTGGTAAAAACTTTATTCTCTGTGGTTTTATTTTCTCCTGATCTTGGTATCTTTTCTGAAGAGGAGCCATTGTGAGAACTGGCCTTTTTTTCTATCCACTTTCCAAATCAATAGAATACAAAAGAGAGGAAACTGCGATAAGGGTTTGAAATTGGACACCCTTGTAAGAAGTGACATTGCGTTCTGGTCATCCAGCTTTATGACTTAGGCCCCTTTTATATGGTGTATGCTTTTGTATTGGTTTTGTTCTTAAAGAGAAGCTTGAAGGGCAGTAAAGTGACAATTGCTTTATTCAGTATTCTTCTCGGGGAGGGGAAATCTGCTCTGTACCACGCTGCAAAGGTCACTGTCCCTTTTTACACATAGGATATTCCTTATAACTGGAACAAACCTAGTAATTACTTTTGCCAAATTTGCAGAGTGGAAGAACTTACAACAGTTTTCTTCCTAACTGTGATGGAAGCATGGTAAGACACTAACTTTTCCTGAGTTGTAAATAGACTCCTAGGACACCTTGTGCCACTCCCCTTTCATCTTGTTTATTCAAAAGCCAGTCTAGCCAGTTCCAGGAGTTGTTCAGCACAAATGATCTCTTGCAGTAACACAGGACAGTGACGCTTAGGTTGGTTCTGCTCAGCAGGGCAGCTCAAGGGGAATGGCAGAATGAGGGAACACACCAGCAGTACCAGTAACACTATAGAGAGAGAATCATTTCTTCCACCTGTGGTTGTTCCTCGTGGGGTGTTGCCATCAGCACGGGTTAATATTATTGCTGGTCATCAGAGACCTCTAGAATGTGTTAAAGGAGTTACCAGAGAGACGGTAGAACTGTTAAAGTTAGGGAGGGAGAAGAAAAAGTATGTGAGAACACAGAACTCTTTAACAGTGGCAAGAGGAGATTATGGAGCAAGGGGGAAATTCTGTATTGTTACTTGAATTATGTTTCCTTTATTCCCAGCTTTAACACTGTTTCTATGGCTGCCTTTTAAAATTGCATCAATTGACAAATCTGTAGGTTGTGGAGTTTGACAGGGGTTTGGAGTGGGGATTAAGGTTTTATTAGGGTGAAGTACTCTGTTCAGCTGTGTAAATGAAAGGATGCTTTCAGATACTGCACGGTGACAGTGTTACTTTCTTTATTTTGAGAAACTGAGTGGTTTAATACCTATGATTTCCCTCAGTCTTCCTTATGCATGGCTAAGGGAGGGTTCTTTTATGGAGCTCATTCTGTAAAGCTGTTGGGTTGCACACATTCCTGCTTCCTCTGCTGTCACCCATCCTTCTCCCTACTCCCTCAGTGCAAGTTAAGACTTAGTCTTTAATTGTAGCATCCCAGTGACTTGATCCAAAAGGTACCCTTCCTAATTTTCACAGTTAACTGGTCTACAGTTGCTTCTACAAGGCATGGTCCATGTTAACTCACCACAGAAATTAAAATTTTGGTCTTTCCGTATAAATTAACTTTCTGCAAAGGCAGCTGTTTCAGAAGTTCCACCCGCAGTTCAGAAGTATTAACGTGTGTGTCTGTAGTTTTGTTAAATAGTGGCATTTGTTAGAGTTCTGTTTTTGATTAATATTTCAGACTAAGAAAACTTGGATGGAGCTGGTAGAGATGCTCTACTGGGTGGGAGCCAAAAGTCTAACCACCACCAGCAAGAGCTACCTGCACCAGTGTAATTATGATCAACAGCCCAGATTCTAGTCTGGTCTCCTTTTGCAGAAAGTTAATCTTAAAGTAAGACCAAAATCTTTTTTTCTAATACATTTGAATATGTAAATCTTTAAATTCTTCGTTGAGAGATTGTCCATATGGCTTCTGTAGCTTTATGAGCAATATGACATTTTCAACACAATGATCTATTGTGGTGTTGTGCCCTTGTGCCTTTAATCCTGGTGTACAAAGTGCCTGCCAGCTGCTTCCAGGCTGTTGTGTGTGGTTGACACACAACCTGGACCCCACTTGCCACCTTTCTCTTGCAGTGTCTGCTGCATTTTTGTTTATAAGCTTGGTAATCTATGGAACCCTGTGTATAAGCACATTCTTGTTCCACATTTTAGTTGTAATTTGCCATGCTTCCATGAAAAATGAGAATATTTCAAATCTGCTCATTTATTAGCTGGACTTTCTTGGTTTTTGTGTCCAAATGGTCACTGCTGGGCTGATACTCCTGAATTTAGAAACAAAACTTGAACTTTAAAAGGTCAGCTTATTCCAGGATGGACATTCATAATGTGCTGTGCCTGCTCAGACACTGAAAAATGTAAGGTGTATGTTGATGCTGCAAATTTGTCCTATGTCTGATCATCCAGTTCACCTGCAATTGATTCCTCAAGTCCCTTACTGCACTGGCCCAGGTTTTCCTTCTCACTGTACCTCAGCAGCCTCTTAGAGATGACATTGTTGCAGCATTTCTTTTTCAAAGATTTGCTTAGTACCAGAGGCAAGACACGTGAGTCAGGAAGAGGATTTAAATGGAGTGTGAAAATGCAGGCACTGCCCACTAAAGCTATATGCTACATCTCTTGTTAGCAATTCTCTTGGTCTAGTCACTCTGGCCAATTAAGACTTCAGAACAATAATGGTTTTACTCTTTCTGATAATGTCAGGGTCACTCATCACAGACCTAGGAAATATTTTTTCTTCAGTTTTTTGGGACTGGGGGAATAACTCAGCCAACATTTGACAGGTTGAATTAGGAGGAGGTGTTTTTGGCACCAGCTTTATCTCCTAAGCGTGTTCCTTGTCCAATAGAATTAAATTATGACCCTCTGTTCTCTCATGTCCCATCTTGTCAATTTTTTTGACAATTATGGATGCTAATTTCTGTCCCTTTTCCTGTTCTTAAAAATCCCACAGACATAAGCAGAGTCCCATGCTAAGGGTAATTGAAAGCATTCAATAGGGATACTGTAAGGACAGCTTTTGTGTTTGTGTTTTCTATAGTACTCAATAGTACTATGAGTCCGGAACCTCACAGGAGAGTGTAGGCAGTCAGTTAATCCCAATCAGTTGTTTGGAGTTAGCTATTTTAGTACTTTACTCAAAGACACTATGTAAACAGCACAGCCATTCTGTATTCCAATTGGATTATATAAATTAAATCTAATCAGTAAGGTCAACTGAGTTGGTCTGTAGTGTTGGGAAAAAATAGTTACAATGAAGATTTAGATATTGAGGGGATTGCTGTACAGGAGCAGATGCACTTTGCTGTGTTCAGAATGTTTCTCCCCTTGAATTGATGAAATCCTAGTTGTGCTGCTGTTATGCAACAAGAGGAGTTTTGTCAGCAATTGCACCCTTTTTCAAATCACTGTTAGTATCTGTAAATGTATTTGTAACACTGCAGGAGACTGCAGTGTTCTTCAGGTTAGATCTGTACATACTCAGTGTAGTTTGGAGATGCTGAGCCAGCAGGAGCTTCCCATGTGCCCACTCACAGAAAAGAATAAAAGCAACCTCTAAATCCTTGGCTTTTAGTTCTGTGTCTGTGAAGTGGCTGTCAAGTGCTTTAGTCTGTACATGATCACTTGAACTGTGCTATGTTTGCAGTACTGAAAGGACTCTGAGTGAGGGACCAGTGATAGCTGACAGAGCCATAGGAGACTCGTCCATCACATATGACTGGCTGTATGTGGCCTGTCCATCCACTGGCAGTTGTAAGATGATTTTCCTGGATCTTCAGGACTTCTGAGGGAGCTTTTTCACTGCTCTTGTCTTAAGTAACCCTCTTCTCTCAGCAGTCCATGTGAAGGAAACAGGTAAAGGCAGATTTCAGCCATAGGAGTGTAACAGTACCAAAGAAGCCTGGACTCTGGCCTGCAAAAACCAAATGCTTATGTGGGCAGTGGAGGCAATTTATCTTATTTTCGCTAGAGTGCTTGAGAAGTCTTTGAATGTTCAGATGTTGCTATTTAGTCAGCCTCATATCAATTAATAAAAGGGATATAAAAAGGTACATATATGCATTGCTTGGAAATCTCTTCTCCCTGAAACAGAATTCATGGTGATTAAAACTGTCATGAATAGCAGCAGACACTTTTCCATTTTAACGTTAAGAATAGTGATTCTGATAATTCCAATTATTTTGTTAATTTCAAGCCACTCATTTCTGTTTAATTGAAACTAGGGTACACCAGCAAACCTCTTGATTAACTTATAGATACGATATGTGGCCACCTTGTCACAGAACTGTCCTGTGCTGTACTGTCAGTAAAAGCAGTTTGGTAATCCACATGAACACACGGGCTCTGCTTTCCCAGCAAGGTTTGGGAATGTGCCAAATCTCATTGCTTACTTAGGGGAATCTCCAGCTGTGATGGGGTGCATTTATTTTCACCCATCTACTGCTACCATTAGATTGAGATAAACCTTTTCATTTTGATTTTTTTAAGAGATCACTACAGATTTGAGAAATAAAGATAGCTGAAAGTGCAGTGGACTCCCCCAAAATCACATCTGGCTCTTCTGATTTTCTGGCAGGTGGTTGTTATAATACTGTTGTAAGATAATATAGTACAGAGAGTCTTACTGTAAATGAAACAGATCTAACATGTACAAGCTGGGCCCTTAGGTAGTCAGTGGAGATTAGTGGCACCCGTAAAATAATGGTGAAGTTCCCTGTCAGTGACCAGGAGTAAATTGGTAATTGCTTGTCAGTTGCCAAGAGTGGGATCTGTGTGCACAATAGCTGAAAGTAAGAATAAATACCATTTCTGTGGTTGTAATGGATGTCTCCATTGTCTGTGTAGATTCCACAACTTGCCTGATTGCTGCTTTCCCTGCTTCTGTAGAGTTTTCTTTAGAAGTCTTGTGTGGTGAAAATACTGAAGAATGATTGAACCTGTACTCCTTCGTGTCCTGCTGTAGGATGGAGAGGAGGTGAAGCTAAATAGGCCACATGGGTGACATAACAAAAATGAAGTTTTGAAACAAAACTTCCTAATTGCAATTAGTATAAGTCAGGAAAAATATCTCAATTTACATATAATCAGAGGATTAAGAAGGTAGTATTACATCTCTTATTCTGTATTTAAGACATCTTTCTGGAAAAGCAGAGCATTCCACATGCTAAATTATACTGTTAATATTTTTATGAAGGTTTTGAAAATGTTAAAGTGAGTATCACTGACACATGTAATACTGGGGGGATAAAATGTGCTCATTATGTAGGCACTTAGGGGAGCCCAGCTGTCAACTAATGTGTTTCTACTTTGTTGTATTTTTTTTGTCTTTAAGAATGAAACCAAGAAAAATTAAAGAAGATGATGCTCCACGAACGATAGCTTGTCCTCACAAAGTAAGTGAAGTGCTCAGCTTCTGAGTAGATAGTAATTTGTAGATCAGAATTTTGTATTGATGTTTTCTCTTGAGAATGAATAACTAAAATATCTTACTGTTAATAGAATACGTTCAGTTAAATATATTTTAGTTGTCATTCTCTAGAAGCTTCCTTTAAAACCTTTCACTGAATAATATATTATTCCCATTCCTTGTCTTAAGGTTAGTGCATCCCTAATCTTCTGGTAACCATGATGCACAGTCCCTAACATGCTGGTTTTACTGTTGTGATTTCCCGACACCCAAGAATACATACTTGAAAGAATATTCTGAAAGCTGTTCAAAGTACGTTCCTAAGATCTATATATCCTCTGCTTGGAAACTATGACAGATTTGGAGTCTAGATCAGGAATCAGCAATTTATGGTGCAGATGCCAAAGTCAGCTTTATTGGAAGACTGAATTACATTCCACAGAGCTGGAAAGTGCATCATCATGAAAGAGAGAGGCAGGCATCTTGGAGATACAATTCTGACACATCAGTAGCAGGGAAGCTTCTGTCTTGAATAAATGCTGCCAGTCACCTAGATTGGTAGCATCTGGCTTTACTGCATTATCCAGCTTTTGTAGTGCTTATTTTAGCTGACTTAGTCTGTAACAAAAAAAAGACAAATGCAATCTTGCTGACTTCTGGTCTAGATAAGTGTGAGCCTAAGCAAATAATTAGGGCAGATAGCTATTAGACATAGCCATTAGAGAGCATGAATAGAAGGCTACTTTCTGACAGCCATGGTGTAAGGAATTTTCTGAATTCCTCTTTGTGCTTATATTGATTTCCAATTTTCCACATTGGGAAAGTGTCATGTTTTTTTTTGTAATACAGTATGCAGAGATACAGGAACAATTACTTTTTACTATACCAAGGAATGTTACCTTCATTTCTTTGATTTACTTTTTCATAGCCTCAACTTCATCTGAACGGGGTCAGGGAAGAATGTTCTATCCTTCCATTTTCTATCTTGTAATGTTTGTAGGCTTTGTGCATTTGTGAATTAATTTAAAAAAAAAGAAAAATATTGTAGCTGTACCTGCTGCTCTCAGAGGTGGAAAGTGACTTTAAAATAAATGCAAAAAAAAAGGATAGTCTGTTCACTTTAGCGCTGCTTTGCCCCACCCAGTTCTGCCATGTTTAATGAATGATGGCACAAAACTTCAAGATTAGCCAAAGAGATTCTAGTGCCTGAAGAGAGAACTCCTGAAAGTGACATTTCACCCTTTTTAGAAGAAATAAGGCTTATTTAAATTATTTGTTTGGAAAAACAAAAAAAAAAAAAAAGAAGCCGGCAGAATTTAAGATTAGCAATTTAATGTTCCTTTAGGCTCTGTTGTTAAATTTTATGTTTAATAGCACAGTGAAGTTGGTAGACTAGTATGTATAAATTTAAACAGTATCACTTGTAGTACAAATACAATATATGATTATTTATAGGATTTTATGGGGGATTTTGAACCTTGAGGAAGACATTTATGAAACATATGATAGACATCTATTGATTGTCACTGAAAGGTGAAAAAATGTAGAAAAATTAGATAAATAGAGCCCCAGATCACTGCTGTCTTAAGCATACTCTAGAATCAAAAGTGATGCTCCTCTGGCAATGCAGGGTCAACCTCCAGGTTAAGATTTCTGATGCTGTACCTGAGTTAATGTATCTTCTGCTTTTAGATTGAGTTGGCACTCATTCAGGCTGTTGTCCCACCTTACTCAGTTGCCCAGTGTCCCTTTGTAGGTTTAAACTGCAGCAGCAGTGGTGCTGTCTCTGTCTCAAGGTGGTGGTGATCAGTCTGCTGCTGCCAGTTTGGACAAGGTGTAGTTCCTGTAAGTGCTGGAAACCCTCTTGCTCCATTGCTTCTCAGAAATGAGGAGGACAATGTTGGCAGGTGATGCACATATAAATTGCACATACTAGGGAATAATCTGTGGTATATTAGAGACTACATAATATATTGTAGTACAGCACATATATTGTAGTACAGCATATATTGGATTACAGCACACTGAAGAGTATACCATAGGTGTCCATGAACTATCTTTCTGTCCTTTGGTTTTTTTCTTGTATTTCTGTTTTGTGTTTGTTTTTTCCTCTGAAACCTGTTAAGGGCTTTTGTTTGCTTTACTCATTTGCATCTGTCAGAGCTGCATCCTCTCCATGAGACTGTCCTATCATTCATTTGACTGCACATGGCTCATAATATTGAGTGAGGAAAGGGTTTGGGATTGTGTTTAGGGTTTTGGGTTTTTTGTCAGCCTTTCAAATGATTAGTTTTCATGTATTGCTTTTTAAAAAATAAATGTAAGGGATGTTCTTTTCAGGGCCAACTCTTAAGAAAGTATTAAGAATATGAAAAGCATTTTAAATGCTTGTATTGTAGCAGATAAAACCTTCTTTGTGAGAACTAGCTTATCTACTAATTGAGTTTCACTGTTCTTTTTAAGGGCTGCACGAAGATGTTCAGGGACAACTCTGCCATGAGAAAGCATCTGCACACCCATGGCCCTCGAGTACACGTATGTGCAGAATGTGGCAAGGCCTTTGTGGAGAGCTCGAAACTAAAGCGGCATCAGCTAGTTCACACCGGAGAGAAACCCTTTCAGGTACTGTTAACCTGCAGGCATGGCTACCACCACTTATCCTGGGAACACTGGAGACTGAGCTATAACCTGGCTCCAATAGCACTTGGGTATATTATGGCTTGTCTAAAATCAGATAAGACACCTGAAAAACTGGGAGTCCCCTTAGGCTGATTAGGCTATCATTAATTTATTTACATAGACTTCTCTTAGATATTGGTAAACTGTATGTACTCGAGAGATAACTTCCAAAATATGTAAAGTTGCCCTCTGTAAAAATGAAGTCTGTAGTTACTAAAGAGTTAAGAAAATGTCTCTTTCTCCTCATCATCTTTTCAGCTTTGTAGCTGTGGACAGCTCAGATTTGGGGCTGTTGGCTCAGTTAGCTCAGGGTACTGATTTTCAGTACCCTGAAAGGGGTTGTTAACCAGTTTTCAGTAAAATGATGGGAGTCGCTGAATCTCTTTCCGTTTATATCAAGTCACATGGGCTTCTGCCACCAGAGGTCCCCTGCCCTCTTCATGTGATACTCCCTCTAAATCTTTTAAGTTATTCTTAGTTTTCAGCATATATATGTTCTCCAGTGCACACTTAAGTTCTTGTTTTTCCTTAAAGATTTTCTTAAATAAATTATTTCAGAAACTTCATTTGCAGTCCTCAGGCATTTGCTTAGATGCATACACTGGATATTCTGTGTCCTAAATATAAGTATTTCCCACTAAATGTGCTATCCTTTTTTTATCAAGCCCATCTTAAAAATAAAGCAGGCAAAATGAATAGAACTTTGCAAATCATCACTGAAAGGGTGAAATTCTGATGTGAAATCCTGTTTCTGTTTTGTAGTACAGTGTAGATACTGTTTCACATGCCGGAGTGGTTTTAGTGAAAGTGCTTGCTTGCAAGCTGGAAGTTATTTATTTCCCTCTTTGAAAATAGATACGCTGTTGTCTGTATAGTGGATATGGTGTACTTCAATGTATATACTGAAGCATGGCAGGTTTTAGTGCAGTTCACAGGAGATGCCCACAGCTTCACCCATGATTGCGCCTCTGGCTTCCTGTCTGTGCAGTCTGGTGATTTAAAAAAAACTGTTCTGATCAGTGATGGAGATGAGTTGTATTAGCTAACAGACTGTGTCTTTTCCTTCTCACAGTGTACGTTTGAAGGATGTGGAAAGCGTTTTTCACTGGACTTCAATTTACGCACACACGTGCGAATTCACACTGGCGACAGGCCCTACGTTTGCCCGTTTGACGGCTGCAATAAGAAGTTTGCGCAATCAACCAACCTGAAATCTCACATCTTAACACACGCTAAGGCCAAAAACAACCAGTGAAAGTTGAGGAGAACATTCTTGAACTCAAAGCATCTTACAGGAAAATCAGTTGGAAAGAAATACGCTTCCCCTTTGTATATTGTTTCTAGAAAAGAATTTTAAAAAAAGAACCCTACAAACCTAAAGGACGTGTTTTGATAAGTAGTAAATAAAAAGCAAAAAAAAAAAACACACAGAAAACTTTAAGGTGACATTGCTGAGATGCTCCACCTTGCTCTGTAACCCTGTTTCAAGAACACGGTGTTTTGTAAAGTGCGGCCCCAACCGGACGGGTCAGCTTATGAACTTGCATCAGAAAAGACAATTCTTTATACAACAGTGCTAAAATTGGACTTCTTTTCACATTCTTATAAATATGAAGCTCACCTGTTGCTTACAATTTTTTTTAATTTTGTATTTTCCAAGTGTGCATATTGTACACTTTTTGGGGATATGCGTAGTAATGCTATGTGTGATTTTCTGGAGGTTGATAACTTGCTTGCGGTAGATTTTCTTTAAAAGAATGGGCAGTTACATGCATACTTCAAAAGTATTTTCCTGTAAAGAAAAAAAAAATTATATAGGTTTTGTTTGCTATCTTAATTTTGGTTGTATTCTTTGATGTTAACACATTTTGTATAATTGTATCGTATAGCTGTAATGAAATCATGTAGTATCAAATATTAGATGTGATTTAATAGTGTTAATCAATTTAAACCCATTTTAGCCACTTTTTTTTGGAGAAATACTGCCAGATGCTGATGTTCAGTGTAATTTCTTTGCCTGTTCAGTTACAGAAAGTGGTGCTCAGTTGTAGAATGTATTGTACAGGCACTGACCGTTTATTAACACCTGATAATATGTACATCCCCCATGTAATAGAAAGGGCAACAATAAAACAGTGGTCCTAAAGAAAGAATCTGGCAGAAAATGATCTGTAAGCGCAGTCTATTTTCTTTGGTTGTCCAGAGCAGTTCTAGTTCCTCTTGACCTCCCAGAAATTGGAAGCTAAATAAACTCAAGTTTCCTTTACTTTGCATTCAATTACAGTGATTTGTGATGCAATTAAGTAATTCCACATCAGGTGGTATATCTAAACAGAATTGCTGACTGTAATTCTGGTTTTGAGTGACCTAGACTTCCATTAACTGGAATGGTGGATTTGGAGACTTGGCAGTGTAGTGGGGAGTGTTCTTTGTGCCTGGACAGCAACTAGGTAAAACAGTACAGGAAATAACTAAATGGGAACCTTTGTTTAGTCAAGGTAATGAACGTTGGAGGTTTAAATGCAGTAACAATAGAAAGTGGAGGAATGTTAGGGCTTGGGTGATCATACCAGAAAAAAAAAAAGAAACAGTTTCTTCTTTTGGCTTACTTGTTTGAGTGTAATGATAAAAATTCTTGGGACCTTATTGGCCACCTTTTGTTTTGGAACAAGAACTAAAAGTTCTAAGAGAACTTGATGCAGTTGAGTTTTGATGGTCTAACTAAGAGTGGTTACTTCTCATTTGTTCAAGTGTTCAAAGAAAACTTAGCAGATACTATAGTAAAATGTGACAGATTAATAAACAGAAGAAAATGCAGAGAAATGCATCAGTTATTTTTTAGAGGCATGTAACATATTTTAATGCAGTAAAAAGTGTTGTTAATATTTTTATGAATTTTGTTCTTACAAGGTTCATCAAAGTTTTCATTGCTAATACTGTAAAACTTAATTTTGAGTCCAGTGTTGGTGGTAGTGGCAAAAACATGGGTAATAAAGAAACTGCACTTAAGACAAGGGAATTTTCATCCATACATAAGTTAATCTGAACACTGCAACTCTAGTCCGAGGTTATTAGGAGTAGAAGGAAAGTTGGGACTTTCAATTGTAAAGTATGCGTTAGAATTTTGGCAGTATTTTTTCTTTTATATATAAGCAGTTTTTGAACAGGACAATATACTGAAACTTGTATAGTTATAGTTAAATTAAATTCTGTATACAGTTTAATTAGTGTCTATTCTTTTTGGAAGGAAATAAAATGAATTCAGTCTAGTTCTAACTGACCTTACATTTTTTCTTAAGCAGTATCTGTGGTGATGTTAGGCTTGCACAGAAGTTTGCTTTCCTGTGTCATAAAGTTATTGAATTGCAAGGTGTCAGTACTTCATCCTTGAACATACATTAGGGACTGAACTACGTTACCTTGAACATACATTTGAGACTAAACTATGTTAAATATTGATTTGGGGACCAGCTGGGAACTGTAACTGTTATTGCCTCTGGTTATATTGCACCCGATTACAGAGAGACATTTCCATCTAGGCCTCAAATCAGTAGCACTCAGTATACTCCAGAGTGTAAGCAGCAATACTTGGTAGCTTGAAAGGTCTTGCTTTGTAAGTAGTTAATTCCATATTGGGTGTGAATAAATACTTGCATTGAGCAGCTGCTATAACTTATTTAAGCTTTTAAAGTATAATTGGCACACCTTGCTCTTAAAACATAATGCTTAATTGATTCCAGAGTTTTCCTCAAGGTTTTTTCAGTGAAGAAATTACAGGCTTTGAGAATAGCAGCAGAATGAACTTTGAAACCACCATTCCCAGCCTGCTGTCAACAAGTTCCTGTGTTACACCACCAATTTGTGAGCAAGTTCAGGTAAGGGGAGGAGCGCCTTAGGGGTGGCAGAAATGTAGCCAGTGGTTTTAAAACTGGCAAAAAAACTCCGTGCTTACTCATACGGGTGTACTGCTCATTTGATCATACATTTACTTTGTTTGGTTCTGCTGCTGTCAAAAGAAGGCAAATTCTGTAGCTATGTATCTTTGGGACTCAGACCAAATTTTTAAAGGTGGGACTGACTGGACTTTTCTATATCTGTTCATGGTCTGTCAGTAATTACAAAACAACTAAACTTAAATACTAGCAGAAAGTGTGTTTCTTGAAAAAGTTGTAGGTGGAGTGCAGGTTTGGATTTGAAATGCTAGGTGAAGAAATCTGTAGTAAAACAGAATGCCAGGATCTCAGCTGAACCTGCACTTAATTTTAGTTGTCTTCTGTTTGAAGATGGTCACTGTGGAATTGATATAGTGCATTTTGACTTTTCCCCAGTATGTCTGCGAGTTGTCAGTCAATAAAGCCAAATATTAAAACAACATAGCTTGTCAGCAGTTACATAGGTTTAAGGGCAAGTGGAGATCCTTTCCTAATTTCAGAAGTTAAAAAGCAAATGATGCAGTAATTACCAGAAATGGCAAAGTATTGAGGCCTTAAAATGTTTGAAGAAAGTTAATTCCTTCAAAGTGCGTGATGAAGAGGCATGGTGGTGGCAATAACAGGTATTTCCACATGGTCATCACGTAGGTGATATGGTATTTTTTCAGGAAGCCTTGCAAAATGGGCTGTTTAGTTTTTCTTCTCAAGATGGATAAACTCGAGGACAGTATGTGCTAAATACCAGTCTTCCAAGTGTTTCTTTAATGCATTGAAGAAATTTGAGAAAATTTGGGATTTTTTTCAGGGTCGCCAGACAATCTGTCTGGGAAGTCTAATCAGTCAAGTGGCAGCTGCTACTGACATTGGTTGGTCTATAATGTGCCATCTATAATGATGGCATTTCAGAATAAGAAATTAAAGAAGTTTTTCATCTTTACAGCATCTTCTAAAGTCTGCTGTTTTACAGTGGATTTAGGAGGGGAGTAAAGGATGTTTGTGTCAACATTGAGCTTTACTGCACTAATGTTCCTGTAGTGCTTAAAACTACTGAGAGGAACCCCTCAGAGGGGTGGATTTCACAACTGAATTTTGGGTGTGAATTTTGCAGGCAGGAATAGAACTAGGAGTTGGACTTTAGTATTCTTGTTCCTGGCTGTGTAAATGGAATAGTTTAAAAAGTAGCACTTTCCTTGGGAAGAGTCCCAGGGCAAAAGAGTGGGAAAGTGAAGTAGAGCAGAGGGAATGCGACCCTGCTGGTGAACACAAGGAGCAGAAACGTCTGCACAGTGATCTGTAAAGGTAAATCAGCAGGAATGTATGCACTTGTATTATGAGATTGAATATTCAGTTTGATAATTTGATTTGTTCTAGTGTTAAATTGCAAGAGTGATGATGGCTTCACAGCAATGCTTGAATGCCACCTGGGTTGCTAGTGGTTTCATTTTGTAAGGTAATTTAATCTGTGGTCCTTTTCTCAAATTTCATTCACTTTGCCTAAAGCAAACCATCTTAGACAAATTTATGTGTACTCTCAGTCATCCTCTATTAAGGCAGTTTGATTTTTCTCTTCAGTCATTTTCTCTGGAAATTGTCTGGAAAGTATTGAATTCCCTTTAGGGGCAAGCACACCAGATTGTATGTAAGAGTTCATGTGAACTTTTCAGGTCCTGGCTTCCCTTGAAGTAGCAGGAAAACTTTGTTTTGCTGTAGATAAATGACTAGGATTCCTTATAGCAACTGCATTTTAGACAACTCCCATTTCAGGGTTTTGCAATTCTTCTGTTACTGTTTTCTAAGAGAAAAGCTCTAAGCCTGGGTGCTGGTTGGGTACCACGATTTCTCTTGCGATTATGGTGGGGACATGAAATCCCTCTTGTGAGCTGCTGTTCTAACCAGGTTCTTTGTGTCTGCTGGGAGCTCTCTTCAGGAGCAAGCCTGAAGTTCTGTCCCAATGCTGGTGGACTTTGGGAGGGAGAGAAAGAGATGGAGAGTCTGTGGTGTCCTTGCAGGCTTCTGTGTGCACCTTTTGCCATTGCTTTTTGGGTGTTGTTGCAGGTTTAAGTGTGATTTGTCTCTAATCAGTCTGGTTATCAGGCAGCATCTGTGTCAGTGCTTTGTTTCAGTCCGTTCAGAAGGTTCCAGGTAGCAGTTTGCCAGGAGATGGCAGTGAATTACCTGTTTGCACAGTGTGACCAGCAGACAGAATGGCAGTGTCAGGGTGCCCCTGCGAGGTCAAGTGTGTGCAGAGTGTCCCGTGGCGTTCACTGGACCTTGACCGACTTGGAGTGTGCCCGTGTCAAAGAGAAAATTGCCCACACACCACTGCAGAAGAATAAAAAGTACAATTGTGTGCTGGTTTCTGAGAGTCCCAAGTGTACTTGTTGCATTCATTAAAAACATCAGGAAGGCAATGAAAATAAAAGAATGTAAATAAAAACTGTTGAGTGGGACATGGGTCAGGTACATATACATCCATCAAATATTAATATTAAATATCTTCAGAGAGAAATACGGAAGTCCGATGATAAATGATGTTAATGAATGTGCTTTCAGCTGTAAGTGGCTATTTTGGTTAACTACTAGACCTGTAAAATATCACTGCTTCTCTCCAGCAGTGGCTTCCTAAAAAGTCCAACCTCTTCTGAAACAACTAGGGCCTTGGCTTCCATCTGCTGCTCATGTGTGCAAGGCCATTGCAGAGACAAAACAGGACAGATGTTGCATCAGAGTCCTGCATTGCTGCTCTTCAGGGAATCAAAATCTCAGTATCCTATTCCCCTCCCTGGAGCAGGCCCACAGAAAAGGTGCATTTCAGAAGGATGTTGTGAATAATGAATATTTTTGAGATAAATCATAAAGCATATGAAGACTGTGGCATAACTAGTACTACTAGTTAAATAGTGGAAAATCCATACACAAAAGATCTTGTTAACCAGATAGTCCTAAAGTTCTTTGGCTCATCTCAGGAACTGGTTGAAGACAAATCTATGCCTTGTTGGTTAGTGTGGATTTAAGGGCTCACAAAGCCAGGTGTCCTTAAGAGCTGCAAGATACTTGCCAAGGACCTCACTGAGCTTGCCAGTTGCAATTTTGTCTTAAAAGGTTTTGTCTGCCTCACATGTGAGGCATCATGTTATGACGTTATGTTTTGACTTATTTTTAAACACATTTTTTCTCAGCAAAACGGTAAATTTTGTCTTTTGATATGAAATCCTTCTGTTTTCAGTCTTAACCAATGCTTTGACTGAACCTCCAATGGATTTATATGAATCCAGTGACTCCCATAACTTCAAAGGCCATACAAGTATTTATGGTTTGAAAATGGATTGTAAGGAATATGGTAGGGCTTCACGTTTTCCTCTTGTGGGGTTGATCGATTTGTTTGTATTTATTCTTTCCTCCTGCATAGGTTAGAGATAAGGGATTTCATCTCAATTGTTTCCGAGGTGTGAAATGAAAATGTGTACAGTCTCCTGGTTAAGAACTGGCAGGGAAGCAGGTATTTGCCTGGATTAAATTAAGGGTAGAAGTAATTTTTACATTTACCTCCTTTAATTGCAGTTAAAAAGCTTGAACTTTACTACTGGCCTGTTTGAAAAGCTCTTACAGATTCTTCCTGAAGTGAAAATACCTGTTGTAGATTCTTACTGAATACCTCAGTGCACAAGGAAGGTGCATGGCCTGGTTGATTGCAACACTGAAGTATTCCTGATCTACAATAAATCTCTCCTTGAGATAACTGGATCAGATCCTAGAAAAAGAATATTCATTTTGTACCAACTTTAATCTGGGCTAGTCAAATTACTTGAGCAACACTTCTTTCTATTCTGATATATATAGGAAACAGTACAGACCATGAGGTTAGGCTTCATTATGATTTTAGTATTTATTAATTTGACATGGATATGGCAAAAATGGTACACGTCTATTTTACTGTTAATAAAAATGCAGTGTGTTTCTTTCATGAAGAAAAAACAGTCGTAATAAAGTATAATAGTGAATGATAATGGAGCAATTTGACTGTGCTGGTTGTTACATTTTATAGGCCCTAAGAATGTTTTGTGAACATCAGAACCTGACTTGCTTCCATTTAGATCAATCTGTAGGGCATTAGTGTTGACTGCAGTCCTTACCTTGATTTCAGTTTATTTATTGATGAACCTGTATACCTTAAAATCACTTTCTAGGTCAACTCAGCTAAAATGAGTAATAAACTGTAAATAGAAAATCTTTTACTGTATATCTTATGTATTATTGTGCATATTATATCACCTTTTTTTCTGTTGGTGATAATAATTTTTGCTGTAAGTGAGGATAACACTAATACAAAAATTGCAAAACAGTTGTACTGGGAAGATAAAAATGGCTTTTTTTTTCCTCTGCTTTTCTTCCCCACTGCCAATGGACATCCATAAATTCCTGAATATGGAAAGAAACAGTTTGCTTCCTCTTGATTTCAAAGGCTGTCTCCCCTAGGTGTGTTCTCCAGCAAGTTCTCTGCTTCCCTGTTCTCTTGCAGCCTCCCAGAGTTGTCCCTGCTCAGATCCTTCATCTGTCTCCATGGCTGTGGTGTTTGTTTGATGGAGCATGTTGCCTTGGGTTAGCTTCTCTTTTCTCTGCCGTGTTCCTGGCAGAAGAGGGGTTAAATTGCACATTCTGCTGATCTAATGGTGCTTGGCATACCTCTGGGCTTTAAATTGTTCTTTCATTGTGCACTGACTAAAAGTTGGGCTAACAGCAGCTAACATTAGACTGTTAACACCTGTTTTCCAGCATAATAATAAATATATTTAATTTTAAAGAACAAACACAAGCAAAATATGTAAGGTCAACATTTTACATTTTTGTCTTAGTCATCTTCCCAGTGTGCTGCCAGTACTGCAGCTTCAATATCTTGTTTTCATGTGAGCCATATAAAATCTCTATCATAGAATCCTAGAATGGTTTAGGTTGAAAAGGACTTTGAAAATAATTTCATTCCATCCTCCTCTGTCATAGGCATGGACACCTTCCACTAGACCAGGTTGCTCACAGCCCCATCCAGCCTGGGCCTGAGCACTTTCAGGGATAGGGCATCCACAGCTTCTCTGAGTAACCTGTTCTGGTGCCCCACGACCCTCACCTGAAGAATTTCTTCCTGATACCTAATCTAAACCTGCCCTCTTTCAGCAAAAGGCCATTTCTCCTCTCCTATCACTGCATATATGCAGAGAAGGACAAGGAAGATAGGACAAAAAAAATTCTGTCATGTTACAGTTGCAGACATGATAAATGAATTTCACAGCAGTAGCTCTACTATAGTAACTTGGTTAAGAATTACGTGGGTACTTTTTCCCCTCTTGTCCTAATTGGATGTGTCTGTGGCTGTAACTTGTAACACTCTCATGACCCATCTAGTTTCAGACAGAACAGAACACAGAGACTTGATAGTGAGGGAGTTTCATTTTTGGTGAGTTTTAGCTTCTTAATCCCTTCAGTTGTTGGGGAATTGCTTGATAATGGGAAGGAGGATCTGGGGAGCTGGGACATAGTCCTGTCTGAATTGGCTCACATCTCAAAAATCTACCAGGAAAGAACCATATCATGATTTAAAAGGTTAAGGCTGTTGTCTAGCTTGGTTTAATAGTCATAAAAGTCACATGGACTTGAAGCAAGTGACATCAGACTAGGCTGAAAGCTGGCTTCACCCTCCTCTCAGGCTTGTTGAGTAACCCCCCCCCCAGTGTCTGGTACTGATTATTTAAGTTCCAGATGGATGAATTTCAGGAGAGAATGCTTTAGTAAGCACTGCAAGTAAAACATTGTATAGCTCTTTCCTGTTTTAATGGTATTAGAGTCTTTTAAGGAGACACTGCTTGTTCCAAGTATTTGTTTCTGTGTCACAGTTCAGTGTTGAGCATAGCTGTTGCTCCTGCTGAGAGAACAAAAGGTACTTGACTGGAACTGACCCTGGTCATGGTCAGTTGGAGAGGTGGTGGCCTTTCCTTTTTCTGCTCCAGGAAACTGATTCTTGACAGGGTTTATGTCATTCACGTGTATCTACCCTTGAAGAAGATGAATTAGGAGCCAGTACCTGAAGTAACCTCTGAACAGAAGGACATGAACTCACTGGAGTGAGTCCGGAGGAGGGGCACAAATATGATCAGAGCACCTCTCCTTTGAAAAGAGATTGAGAGCCTGGAGAAGAGAAGGCTCTGGGGGTGCCTTACAGCACCAGCACCTTCCAGTACCTAAAGGGGACTGACTGAGAATGTGAAGGACTTTTTACGAGGGCATGGAGTCATAAAGGGTAAGAGTTTTAAACTGATATTCAGTTCAGTTAAGGTATTAGGGAGAAATTCTTTACTGTGAGAGGGGTGAGTTGCTGGAACATGTTACCCAGAGAGTTTGTGGGTGCCTGGTATTGATTCTGATGTGACCCTGCAGAGACCCAAGGTGTATCTTCCCCCGTTATGCAGCCTTGGGGCTGATCAGCACAGCTTAAACCAAATAAATACAGAAGAGGAAGGATCAAGCACAGGGCCAGCGCTTTGGCTCTAAAAGCAGGATTGTTCTCTCAGCACAGGAAAGGTCAGTTTGAAGAAGTAAGGTCAGGCAACTTCCTTTCTTTGCTCCAGTGATGGGGCCTAAGCCAGAGCAAGATCCTACCCTTCCCAGTGGTGCATTAAAGGCAGATATGGAGCAAGTTTCCCCTGGCAAAAACTAGAAACCCCACCCTCATGCAAGCTTGATTTAATACAAAGCTTCTGAGTAAAATATAAAAAAAAAAAACTTCAAAGAATCAAAGGCAAAAATTTTTTAAAAATTTATTCCCTCAAAATATATACAAGAATTACATACTCCTGTACAAAGGTGTAAATGGTCTTTGCTGTGAGTTGTTGTGCATATGCAGCTTAGTAGACAGATTTAACATTCAATTTGAATCTCAGTGCAAGTAGGCACTAAAACATCCACCATACCTTCAAGGTATAAAAAGACATACCAGTTTTACAAGTTTCTCCAGCATATTTTGTTACAGTGCAAAATGCTATGAAATAACGCTTCTTTAGAAAATTCATATAAATTAAATACATATTGCACTTGTCCCAACCAAAAGTGTAACAAGTTGTACTCACTGAACTAGTTTGATATATTTTAAAACACTGCTCACACACATACAGTCCTTCCTTCTGGCTATTTGTGCCAAGTATGTGTAGCTTTTATCTCAAATCTGAAATAACTGTTTGTAGCTCTTTGGCTAATTCAATTCTTCTTGAACAGACTGCTAAAAAAAAAGTCACAGCATATTAACGTAACAAGAAAATTCTCCAAAACCCTTTTAAGTCTTCTTTCCCATAGCACTGTAACTAAATATATAAAAATCAGTATTGTTTAAATTCATAATGCAAGTGTATTGAACAGCAACCATTTCAGACACTTAACACCCCCGCTTTCTGGAAAGGTATGAAACCTCCAGTCCTAAATATATACATATTTCTAAGGTACTTCAAGCTGCTAAGCTAACATTGCACCCACAAACATTTTGTGCAATACCACAGGCAGGACTTTGACTTCTGTACATCACTGGCTGCTATGGGGCATGTTGGGAGAAGTGGTGCAAAGTTGCATTAACTTCAGAGAACAAAGTCTACTGGGCTGAACTACTCAATACAGTCCGTGCACCCACCAAAGGAGAAACAGAGATGAAGGCAAACAACATCAGCCCTACTAGGTTTGAGCTTCCCTAAATCCTTACAAGCCTTGAGATTTAAAGGAACAAGTGCATTTGAGTGCAGATGCTAACTTTGTGCTTCAGGTATTTATTCAAAGCTAAAAGGTCAGGGAGTAACATAGGTACAAATATTTTTCTTTTTTTTTTTTTTTTTTTTTTTTTTTAGCAAATCAGTATGAACAAAGTGTTACTAAAACCATTGACATACAAAAGCAGAGGAAAAGTTAACACATGACTAGCTGAATGCTAGTCCATGTCTTTACAGTTCAGGGTTACCTGCAAAACCTCCAACATTTAACTTCTTCCCCCTTCTTTACCTAACAGAAGTACATTTACTCCTCTCACAAGACACAAAATGAGTATTCCTTATAATGTGTTCTTTCTGAACATTTCTGCATTCAACTCAACTCAGTCATTCAGAAGATGAGTGAAAGAAAACTCAATTTCTGGTACTACAATATTCTCCAGAACCTCTTCTGGAGCCACAACAGCAACTTTCTAAAGGCAGGTCCCCCTCTTACTTGAATACTACCAGATATGGAGTCCTGAATAAGGCAAGATGCAGTTTAAACAAGTAGTGAGATGAAATCCCAATTTGATACATTTAGGAATTCTTTATACAGAGAGCATAAATGTACACTACTTGTGTGGGCCAAGTGTTCATGTTTAACAAAACCCAACCAGCCAGGCTTTGGATGAGGAGAACAAACAGAGCAGGTTCACAGACTGGAAGGCTGATGGATTACTGGACCTGGTTCACATTCAGGAAGGTTGTCTTCYGACTTCATGTACATGAGGAACACAGTGACAGTAGCAAAGGTAGCTGCATTGACGGGAAAAGCACGGAGCAGTGTGGAAGTGAGACCCCTTGTGAACACCCTCCAGCCCTCTTCATGGTAACTCTTTCGGACACAGTCCAGGATGCCCTTGTATTGTGTGACGCCTCCCACTCCGTCGGCCTGCAGCCGGGATTTGATCACATCCATGGGGTAAGTCGAGAGCCAGGACACGATTCCTGACATCCCTCCAGAAAACAGCAGCTTGGGAATAACGTAACTGTCTTCAGCTTCACAGCCCAAATAGCGAGTCATGCAGTCATAGGTCAGGAAGTAAAAGCCAAAGCTTGGAGTTTCTCTTATGAAGGTGGAGACCATGCCCCTGTTGATACCCCTCAGCCCTTCCTTCTGATAGATTTTGATCAGACAGTCCAGAGAATTTTTGTAGTTCTTGGTTTTCTGTTTGTATTCTCCTGTTCCTTGAAGCTGCATCCTTGTCTTTGCCAGCTCCATGGGGCAGCAGATGACACACTGGATGGCCCCTGCTGCTGACCCTGCAAGGAACTGGTTCAGAGGAGTGTCTTTGCCCAGAGCACGAAGGGTGTTTCCTTGCACGCCGAACACCAGCGCGTTAATGAACGTGAGCCCCATCATTGGTGACCCAATGCCTTTATAGAGTCCAAAAGCCTGATGGAAGAAGGGAGGAGAAACCCTTTTTAAAGTGGTGTTGGTAACCTCCAGCTGCAGAACACACCTTTTCTGGCTTTCTCTTGTAGCCCAGCCCATCCGACAGTGGCCAGAGCAGGACCACCTYGTTTTGTAATAAAAATTTCATCTCTGCCTAGGACACAAGCATCTAAACAATTTAGCATAGTACAGTTTAACACATACAGAAAATAATCTTACTCCATCCAGAGAAAAGTTTTCTGGCAGATTTTATTCTTTTTTTATTTTATTTTTTTTTTTTTGGAGCTTACTTAAAACTTGAAGCCACCTTTTTAGCAATGGTTGTAAAGCTTCAGCAGCAAAAACACCTCACTAATTTCTTCACTCACTGCTTAGATTCTCAGAAAGTTAGTTATTTACATAACTTCTTATTTTATTTAAAAAKTTCCCATCAAAATACTATCTTCTGGCTTAGTAATCTTCTTCACAAAGTTTCTGGCAAMTTTCTGACTACAATATCTGCCCTACAGTCAGGTGAGGCTCAGAGTGTGCCTTATCTCTTGATCTTCAAACATTTGTAGTTTTTGTAACAGCCTTGCCACCCTCCTGAGCCAAAACACACAAAGATAAAAAAAAACAAAAAAACAAAAAAAACATGCAAAGCATTAATTTTGTACTTACAGATTCTTGCTTTATAATGGACTGAAAGCAATGGAAAGTCCCACGGTAGAGAGGTTTCTCTACATTTTGAACTTGCAGCCGAACCTATAAAAAGTTGTGTGAGAGACCAATTTGTACATCAGGAAAAGCCTAAAGGGTAACTACTGTCTTGTACCTATGTGGAGATTTGCTATAGCAATGCATATGCGAGAGCACAGGCTGGACACTGGAATGCCATATGTGGCACAGTAATTGGAAAAATCTCGTGTAAGTGTTTTGAACTAAGTTTGGGGGTAAAGACATGAAGGGGAGAGGATTAATAACTTCTTGTGACTGTTAGCAAACCAGTAAGTGTAAGGGTACATTGTCATCTAGAATTTCAAAGACATGTTTTTTCCAGTACAGGCTACAATAGGGACTTTCTTTAGCTGCCAACAATACTTCTGCTCATACTAAGGAATACCTGTGCAAACTTGAAAGAATTTAATAAAAAAATTATTTGCAAGTCAAGCATGAGATTAGGATAATTTTAAAAGGATGAAAACTCTCAACAATACCCACAGTGTTTCTAACTGCCAGATTTGGGCCCATTCACTGAGATTTGGGGKTTTTTTTCCAAGGGTAGCTGGGCAGTGACACTTAAGAAACCTGTCTTTGCAAAAGGGAAGGAGTAAAAAGCCTTTGTTCTTTTAAATTTTAGGCTGTTTTGGCTTTGGTGTTTTAGCCTGCTGAACASAAGCAATTGCTGAGGGTGTAGCTGCTTCATACCTTTAAATGTTAGKAATCAATGAACTTTTCCAAACCTGAATCATTATGTTCTGCTGGAGAGATAAAGGCCACAGTAACTGGTGTCTTAGGAGACAGGACCCTTCTCTGGATGCTTTTTAATCTTTAATGRAAAAGTGCAATTCTGTTTTTTTCACACTAACTTGTCCTGAGCACACTTAAAAAGGTCTCAGTTCTACTTAGCTCATGCAAAGCCCTGCACTACAGTAAACTCAGTAAGTTGATTTCACTGGATTGATAAAGTTAATAAGTCTGTGTTTGATCTCCCGCATGGAGAGCTGCAACGTTCTTCAGATAAGATGTTTATCAACCATTTAATGCTGCTGCTGCAACTCCAGGGCAAAAAACTTCAGTCTCTCTCTCTTTTGCTTTTATTCTGAGCAAAAGAAAAAACTATCACRTCTGTGTGAAAGATTCCTGAACTTAATTCTGTTTCATCTGTTTGCCTAAAGTAATAAAAACCACCACCACAACAATGAAAGACCTGGAATATGCATGTCTGGGAAAGGATTTATGGAGGTGATTTGTCAGAATCATATATTTGGGTTAGCCTTCTTCAAAGCAAAAATAAATTGACAGTTTTAGTATTTTTTCCTACAATAGACCATTTAATGCTTTGTAAACCAAAACTTCAGTTTTCAGTGTCTTTTTAGGACATACACTAGTTTATGCTAGCCATACTGGGAGGCTCAGATCACCCTGGGTCTTGCAACCTCTCAACATAAAAATCAGGGTTCTGGTAGGATTCAAAGGAGATAAATCCCTTGTTACACCAAGTGACTTTTGTGGGGTAGACAGGCTGCCAAAACTGTTAAAGAAGCAGGTCCACAAGCAAGGGCAAATCTTAACCAGCTGTCCCAATTGCACAAASAAAAGGTTTTACTCCATTTATAATTTACTGTTATTGTTTCAAACCATGTCTGTGACTTCCACATGTATGGGCTTTGGGAGATKTGCAGCTTAGTAACCTTCTTACTTTATCCTTTCTGCTTGTGTTTAATAGTTTAGAATTAGTCATATTCTGTACATGGGTTGAATTTCCTAGTGGCATACCGCTCCCACTATTTTTGTTTAAATAATATGTGAAATTACTTGCTTAACCAATTAAGCTTTGCTGTAGGGTAGAATATTTGGAGTATTGACTCTCCAGGTCTAAGAATGAAAAATCTCTTTCTCTTGGCTCAGTGCTGGTCACATTTGGGTACCCACATTAGCAAACTGCCACGTAAGCCAACGAGTGCACATCAAACTTGCATTTTCATGCATGTTAATGCCATATTCAACAAGCTCCTCAGTGTGTACAACTACAGGAAAGATGAATCATGTGCAAAGTTTATYCACCTGTACCATTCATTGCCCAATATTCTAGCTTCCTTCTTATTGGAAAACACTGTTACTGAGGTTTTAGGTCCAACAGTAACACCCAGTAATTTCACATCACTAAAGACTTGCATAAAGGTACTCAAGGCTAAATAAAAAAATCCGAACCACTACATCCCCAAAACAGTCCAAGCATTTAATAACATGGGAAATCAGTGGCTTCAGAAGTATTTGAGCAATGAAAACATCATCCAAGAATATGTAGTGGATAAGAACTCAACAGCAATGTGCCTGAGATCTGGTTTTAGAGAGTGGGAATGTACACAGCCAGAAATGCACAGCAGAAAGAAGGTTCAGAATAAAACTACATTTATAAAAAAAAAAAGGGATATTTAAACCCCACTCCCTCCATGCCACAGCTGTAGAAGAGGGACACATCAGTTTAAAACTAAAAAGGGAAAAAGCTTCACAAGTCTTTCAGTTCTTTACTTGAACTAATACATTTGGGAAATAAATTAAGACTGAGAGAAACAGAAGTGTTCACCTGKGCTATACTTACTAGGTAACTCTCCCGTGATGAGGCTTATCTGTCATCTACAACAAAGTAACACTTTTGCTGTTAATGAAGACAGCCCCTAGCTCAGAAAGTAAAGGCAGTTAAAAGCAAAAAAGCAATTTTAAACATTACATCAACAAACCAGGGATAAGAGTTTGCCAGTTCTGAGATCGGCTCAGTTGCAGGTTTCACAGGGTGACTCCACCAGGTTAATGTCCCAATGTTCCCCTGTGTGTCCCACCATCCCCCTCCCCGCTCTGTGAAACACGAGCATTAGCCAAAAAAAAAAAAAAAAAAAAAAAA